ATAACATATACAACCTTTTAGTTTCGCTATAGTATTTCATTTGTACATTTGGTTTTAATCTTTTTATCCTACTTAGATGTTCATATTGCTCTTATATCTGCAACCTATTTGACAAAATGATCCGTCTTACACTTGTATGTTAAGTAGAGCTTGAGAGTTAAGATGTGCATTGCCAAAACTACGCTCTAGCTATTGTGCAAATGAAAAAAAACGTCTTTAATTCTTTGAGCTTAGTTCAAGCACTTACACGTCCAAAGGGTTATATAGAGTATAATAATGTTGAAACATCAAAACAAAAAACGTGCTTGACCTTCTCTGTGTGAGTAAACAGGGAAAGCAGGAGAATAGCTAACAAACGATTAAGATTCCTGCAGCAAGACCAGACAAGTGCTAAGTGTCTGTTAGCAGGAGTATAATAACAGCTCAGTTACTTCACCTGCATTCCTTCCATTCTGCCTCTACCTGGCCTATCAATGTCGACAATAAAAAACAAGCAGGAGCTTTGACTTGCCTTAGCTTCATAAATGCATTTCCTGTTAACTAATTACATTTTTAAAGGTCGGACAATATCCAGAATAGACCATGAACAGCCTCGGCCCAAACAAAACAAAGTGTGCAGAGCAACGTATAAACCAACTTTGTTCAAGAGCGGCGTTAAGGGCCTCGTAATTCTGAAGGTCAACTTTGTGGGTCCTTGTTGGGTTTGAGCTAACAATGAGCCCCTCAGTGTCTGCTTGTTAACGAACACACACACAATCCTCTGGGTTGAACAAAGATGGCATTGTGAAAGATGCTGCGTGTGTGTAATGCACGAGTACACACACACATTTTGATGCATGTATGTGCATGTTCGTAAACACACACTCTCCCACCCTGGAGCGCATGGCTGAATGTGAACTTGACAGAAAAAACAACAACACTCTTCGGAGGATCGTTTGTGTTCTCATTTCTATACCGTTTTATTTAGTGCAGGCTTTTCCTTATCCTGTCATAAAACTCAAGGTATGTTTGTTACCTTTAAATACAGAGGCTGTGTAAAGGGCTTTGACGTAACGAGGGAGTGCTTCAGAGCAGCGTTTAAGAACAACCTTCTGGATCCGCACCAGTCTGGTTTCAAGGCAGGTCACACCACAGAAACTGCCCTCCTTGCCGTCACTGAGGAACTGCACACTGCTAAAGCAGCATCCCTCTCCTCTGTCATCATCCTTTGGACCTGTCTGCTGCATTCGACACGGTGAATCATCAGATCCTCCTTCGCACTCTCCAAGAACTTGGAGTTTCAGGCTCAGCACTTTCCCTCCTCACCTCATACCGCAAAGACCGCACCTACAGGGTAACTTGGAGAGGGTCCGAGTCCGACCCTTGTCAATTAACTACAGGGGTCCCTCAGGGCTCTGTTCTTGGTCCCCTCCTCTTCTCCTTGTACACAAACTCGCTCGGATCAGTCATTAGCCCGCATGGTTTTTTCATACCACTGCTACGCTGACGACACCCAATTAATTCTGTCCCTTTCCCGTCAGAGACCCAGGTCGTCGCACGCATCTCTGCTTTGTCTAGCTGACATCTCTCAGTGGATGTCCTGCTCATCACCTCAAGCTCAACAAGACTGAACTGCTTTTCCTTCCGGGAAAAGATTGTCCCACTCTTGACCTGACAATCAACATTGGCACCTCAGTTGTTTCCCCGACTCAGACTGCAAGGAATCTGGGTGTGATCCTAGATAACAAACTGTCCTTCCTGCAAAACATCGCTGCTACAACCCGCTGCTGCAGATACACGCTTTACAACCATCAGGAGGATACGTCCCCAGCTGACACAGAAAGCGACGCAGGTTCTGGTCCAGGCTCTCGTCATCTCACGCCTAGACTACTGCAACTCCCTCCTGGCTGGTCTACCTGCATGTGCCATCCGACCTCTGCAGCTCATCCAGAATGCAGCGGCTCGTCTGGTCTTCACACCTTCCTAAATGTTCCCACACCACTCCGCTCCTCCGCTCCCTTCACTGGCTTCCGGTAACTGCTAGAGTCCCCTTCAAGACACTGGTACTTGCTTACCATGCTGCGAATGGATCTGGCCCTTCGTACATCCAGGACATGGTTAAACCGTACACCCCAGCACGTGCGCTTCGCTCTGCATCAACCAAACGGCTCGCTGCCCCCGCACTGCGAGGGGGACCCAAGTTCCCATCAGCAAAAACACTTGGGTTTGCTGTCCTGGCTCCAGGATGGTTGAATGAGCTCCCCATTGACATCAGGACAGCAGAAAGCTTACACACCTTCCGGCGCAGACTGAAAACTCATCTCTTTCGACTCCACTTCGAGCAATAGAACTATTAACAAAGCTATATACTAATAACGGCTGGCTTACCTAAAGCCAGTTGAGTAGCACTTGAATGTTTTTGCTCTATGAAACCTGATGTACTTTATGATTCTGTTTTCTTCAAGTTTGTATTTTGTTGGTCGAACGCACTTATTGTAAGTCGCTTTGGATAAAAGCATCAGCTAAATGCAATGTAATGTAATGTAAAACAAATAAAAATGAAAATACATTCAAATACAATCATTTATAAAAAGGCCATAAAATAAAAGTGGTGCTTTTAAGGTTATTAGAAGGTTGTGTGCAGCATCAAAGCTAAAAGCAGCTTCACTGGGTTTGGTTCTGCTTGATCAAACTACGAGCTGAGTGCTTCCTAAAGAGACCTTCTGAGTTTATATTTATTAAAAGTACCAGAATATGTTTTGGTACAAGGCTCTTAACTGATTAAACTATTCTATGAACTTGAAAAACAGGCATATAGCTTCAGTTAAAAGCAATAACATAACAGCCAAACAATTACACAAAGAACAATTTTGTCCCCTGTTGTGAATGATATGTTTGCCTTATGCAATAAACACTGTTTCTCACTGCATTTAAAGCTCAGTTTCAGTATCTTAATTACCTAACAAGTTGTGTTCGCAATAAATCCACAATGTTGCCAACTTCCACCTAAATGTCATCATATTTTGACTGCCTGTGCTTTTGGTATTGAGGTTTAAAAGCTCATCCAAATATCAGTTAAATGATGCAGCGCCTCCTAAAATCGTTGCTGTTGAGGGCTCCGTCTTAAGTCAGACATTTACGAAGGGAGACAAAACAGACACAAAAAAGTGTCACTTCAGCACCACAGAGCCGGGAGTAAGGGGCTTACAATGAATCGTGCTTTTGACCAATGATTGACTGCAAATCTCTAAAATATGAACCTGATTGTTCATAGCCTTGAAAGGGTCCTCGTCACTCTTTGCCTTCAGGCAGCTGCCTGCCAGCAGCTCTAACAGGAGCTGGCAGCTTAAACCTCATTGTTAATAGGCTGAGGGTTTGACACAGTTTCAACCCCAAAGGAAACAGGTCACAACCACAGACTCAGCGAGTGAGAGAGGCAGGCTTTAATATAATACACATTTAATAACTGAAAGTGTCAGGTGTTATAGGATATATGACTAATATGACATGTCGGGAACAAACTCTTAATTTACTATGAGTAGTCATTGAGTGGCCTAAACTCTAAAGCCTTAAATAAGCCTGTTGTGAATTTATCAAAACAGTCTTTACAAAATATTATTGAAAACTTCTGGTAAATTGAAAACAGGCGATTAGGACCACGTGCAAAGACAGTTACTGCCAATAACCAGTTTCTCACACGAGGGCCAATCGTGTAGCTGAGGTAGTGATGCAATAATCAAGTAGAACAAAAGGAATAACATCAGTTATTTTGTTTTATAAGATATATTTAAAAGGTCCCAGATGAGTTTTGGTGGTTCTTTACTGTAGAATGATGTTGAAATTAACATTGTATATTTTCTGAATCAATTTGATTTTGTTCTGTAAACCCCTTTGATAAAGTACACGTGTTACCCACCTGAGTATGTTGGGATGGCAGAGCCGGTTCATGAGTTGGACTTCTCTCAACATGTTGGCTCTGTTGCTGCTGATTTTGTTCATCTTCATGGCCATAACCTGGTCTGTGGCTCGATGGCGAACCTGCGAAACAGTCACGTCATTTTAACATGTTGCGGATACAGTCGACTAAAGAAAGGCTAAATCCTTATAACTAATTAACTGTATTATGGTGGCTGCAAGTAAACACATTTAACTTGGGTCAATATGAAAAGTGCTTGAACAAGTTCTGTAATGGAAACTAGTAAATAATAATATGAATAATATGGCTCATGCAGCAAGAAACAGAGGAAGTAGAAAAGGAAGGCAGCTAATAAAAGAGAAGTGAAATGAGGTCATTGACCAGACAGAATAGACGTGTCGATCCGGAGCTGAACAATCAATCTTTATTATGGTGCATTGGGATTTCAGTTTCCACCCAGTCGTTACGTGGTGGTATAACCATGGATGCATGTATCCATGGTTGGCTGGAGTTATCCCAGCATGCTTTGTGTGGGAGGCACAAATACTGTAGACAGGTCACGACATGAACACTGAAGCTCTTCCTGCTGATGTTTAAAACAGCTCACATGTGGCTACAACAAGAGAAGCGAGGCGGTTCTGTTTCTCAACTGTTTGCAGGGTCATAATATTGCTCAATTACTGTATAATGGAGATTACAAAATATTACGAATAAGCCAAATCATAGACGTAAACATTGACTGATTAGAGTTGAAGGTGGGGTAGGTAAGTTTGAGAAACCGGCTCGAGATACACTTTTTGTTATATTCCATGGAATGCTCTTAACATACCGATAGCAATGAATATCTGAAAAAAAAATCAATTAAAAAAGTCATCTCTGGAAGCCGTAGCGCTGTAAAAAGCACGACCAATCATTTTAGCCGGCCCGGCTAAAGTAACTGCATGGCCTACCTGCCTGTCAGCCTTCCATCTGGGCACAAACTTATCTCGTGCCCTCATTGGTCATGTGCGCGTTCGTGTGTTGGAGGAGGGGCTCTGTAAGGAAGTCTGAAGGAAGTGGCAGATTTTTTTCCGGTTGTGTATTTTCAAATTCTAGCGCACTCGAGCTGGTTTCTCCAAAATTACCTACCCCACCTTTAATGTCACGTGGAGTGTCGTATCGTGAAGTGGTGGTATGGCAAAACTAAACTCCTAACATGCTTTTTATATCCATTTTGACTGATAGAAAAAGCTGCGTAATGTTTTAAAAAGTTACATTACATTTAAAGATTCAATTGAAGTATTTACTCATAAACAATACGTTCCCAAATTAACTGCAATTCATTTAATAAAGCCTTTGTAAAAGCCCTTAACAGAGTTCTTCTCTCTAATGCAGCATATAAAGAGTTGACTACATGTTGGTTGTAAATACAGAAATGGTGTTTGCCTCTTCACCTCACAGTCTCAGTGACCTGAGGCCTTCCCACCGCAGCTCTTAGCGACTGCGTGACTCGTCAAATACCAAGAATGTGGGTTTCTTCTTGATACATTGATATGCATGCAAATAGGATACATCAACCAGCAAACCACGGAAGGCAGCACGTGAGAAGACGGAGCAAACACTTGCTCGCTCACTTCCTGACAGCAGACGCAGACCGTGATGCAGCTTCAACGCAGCCGTGTGAGAAGGCTAAAGTGATCCCACTGTGCCTTCAGCAACAAAGAGCATATTCAAACGTTATCAGAAGTTCACGAGATCTTTCGGAAGCATCATACCGTACATGCGTGATGCAAAACAGAGCATGAAGGCTATATCTATCTCGCACTTTGAACATTAACACCTTGTTTTCTTTGAACCTCACCAGACATGATGTAAATAATGAAAGGGGACCGTGCTGCTAATGTGGCCTTGTGACGCAGTATGTGTTGTTGTGGAAAATAGAAATAATAACATATGATTAGATTAATGATGTATCGCTTAACAATAAGTGGTGTTACATAATTTGGATACCCCTTATTTTCCTAAGGTAAACAGCTCTCTCAGAAGACAACAGTGCAGGCTAAAGAAAGCCTGAAAACCATTTTGGAAATGTTCAGATCCTTCACTTTCTTAAAAGAACTAATACCATACTGTAAAAATACAAGTTAACATGTTATTATAGATTAAAAGGCTGGTGACCTTAATTAAATAGTTTCATCAGCACGGTGTACTCAAAATGTCAAAAAGTATAATTAAGAGTTACCTGTCAGTGTTTTACGATTATACATGATGTGTTTGGGTTTACTGCTGCATTATTGTGCATGTTGCATTTAACCCCTGTGGTTATTAAGGCTATGCTAATTTAAAATGTTACACTTTCAGGGTATATGCAGGAATCCCGAAGTCACATGTAATACCTTTTAAGACCCTTTCCATACATTTTAAGACCTCATCGCCACTTGGAGTTTTAACCGGTTACCTTGGCGACACACTTTACCTCACATTGACTATATACAGTATTGATTGTCCTTCCTCCTTATCTTCCAACCATTTGGACGCAGACTTGCATTTCCCCAAAACGATGTTGTTTAACAACCGGCGTAAACGGACCTTCGCGCTATCAAGCAGTGAGCGCGCGATGTCCTGTTCAGATGACGTCAAATCCAACGGGATGCCATCAATAAACTACACAGAATCACACTACACACCTACGCAATGATCACATTCAGGCAGACTGTAGAACACAACCTCTTTGGACCATTTATATACTTATTGAAAACAAGCTACAAAATGTAATACCTTGGAAAATGCAGTTTAATACTTTTTAATAGCCTTCATTTTCGCTAAATTGATTGATCAACTTTTAATACTTTTTAAGACCCCGCGGACCCCCTGACTTTAGTTTATCAGGTATTTTACTTAAAATCGCCGCATTTGGAGATACAGGTGGCAGGAAGGGTTTGACTTATTGTAATATGAAAAGTAACAAGTCACTAAAGCCATCAGATTAATGTACTGGAGTAAAAAGTGTGTTATTTCCCTCTGAAGTGTAGTGGAGTAAAGTTGTATGTAATGGAAATAATGTATTAATGGACGAGTATTCCAAGTAGTTCCTGCACGAATATACTTTGTTGAGTTCCACTGAAGGCTGTGAGTCATTTTCAGTGCAACAGTGGGCAGCTTTACATCATCTTCTAACAATGGCTCTCTTCCATCATCAGAGCCACAGTACACTGAGTACGGCACAATGGACGGGCCGTATCACTTTCAGCAGGAAGGGGACGGGAGAAGGTCAACGAGGGTTATATATGAGGCGTTAACAGTGACAGGTAATGGGCAAAACTGTTGCTATACAGCAATATCAGTATTTGGAGAGCTTTCTGAGGTTGAAAGGTTAGCGAATTGTAAATATTAAAATCATTTTAATTCAGATTAAGGCTGATATCAGATTTTCTTATTACATGATTATCACAGCAAAATAAATTCCCCATAGCAATGTTATGGCGATATATCTTTGTAAAACGAAAAAAAGATTAAAAAATACCAAAATAAATATCAATATTAAATAGAAAAATCATTAAAACATCTTAGATTAGGGCTGTTATGATATCAGATGTTCTTATTACATGATTATAATATCAAAATAAATTCCCCAGAGCAATGTTATGGCGAAATATATTTGTAAAACCTAAAAAATATGTAAATACAAAAATAAAATAATAATAATAATGTCAGATTCATCTTAAACTTTGTCCCTTTTTTGGCACAATTATTACACTGAAAATTAAAATACAGGTTTAAGGATGTAGAGCAATGACAAATAGTGAGATTAAAAGGGCGCTGGATTATTTTCCCTATACATCTGTATTATTAACATGAGCTCAACAGTTCATTTTTCACAGTTTCTGTCAATACCTCTAAATCCCTATTTCAGATTTGAAGAGTTCTTCTGTGTTTCTTCTCTCTCAGTGTTTCTGTCTCGTATACAGACACAGACATCACTCTGTTCAAGTTCAAAGGAAGGGGCTGGCTATAGGAGCTGACAGTCTCCACCACAGGACAGCCGAAACAACAGATGGCCACTCCTCTGAAGGCCTCCTCCCCCACATCCGTCTATCCTCCTCCGACCCCCCATTCCTCACTCCTCACATCCCCCCCATCTGCATGTAGTCCTGATCCCCCTCTTTCCCCTCCACCCTGCGGCCTCCAACAATCCCTCGTTCTTAATCCTCATCTCCCCCAGTAGTAAACCCCAAATTCGTCTTTTTACCTCATTGACCTCTGCCTTCTTGCACCCTCACTTCTTTAAGTAAGGTACGTTTATTTATACAGCACATTTTCAGACACAGAGGCAATTCAAAGTGCTTTACATCATCATTAACACTTAATAAGAAGATACAAGAAAGGAACACAATAAATAAACATAATGGAATAACATTAAACATCTCCTCTTTACCAAACTGCTCATTTCTGGAAAATATGTCTTTGTCTTCCAAACCCTTTCTCCCTTTTCTCCTCCTCCCCTGAACCCAAGCTCTAGAAAACCTCTTAATGGCGCATTTCCACTGCAGGGCCTCGCACAGCATAGCACGGTATGGTTAGGCCTTGGTAGGCCAGGCTCACCTTAAGCTGCGTTTCCATTACAGTTTAGGAACTAGGGCAGTAACTATAGTAACGCAGTGTAGGCTGAGCCGTGACGTCATCTTCAATGAGAACCACAAAACCAACATCAGCCATTAGCTGTTAGCACTCAGAGCTCACAGCTCTTCATATTTGTTCAGAAACTAGACAAAAGTGAAACAAGTACAAACCACAGACTGCCTGTGTCATGGCGAATACAGTCGCTGCTTTATTTATGTCTGTATAGGCCGTTGTTGTGAGTGTGGACGGTCGGAGCATATATAACGTTAGCTTAGCCAAGCTCCATTTAGAAAACACACATTTTAAAAGGGTTTTTCGCCTGCCGTCTGTCTGCAGACTTGTCAAAGCATTAATTCATGGTTTTTACTAACCGGTATCAGTACGTTGTTACTTCAGTATCATTATGAAACTTGTATTACAATTAAATCACGGAAACATATGTTCATTTTGTTGTAGTTGACAGCGATTCTCTCACTAGTTTAGCATACCCGGTTGTTGGCCCGGAAAGAACCTCGACTTTGGAGAGACAGAAAACTGAAAAAGTACCCGCTAGCCGGAACTACGCCTAGTGGAAACGCAACCAAAAACGGCACACTTAAACCGCGCTGTAGTGGAAATGCGCCATAAATCAATCTTCTCCAGAACTTTATTCCAAAATACTAATCCCTATTTGTTATCCTTTTCATCAGGCGTACCACCACATCTCCTCAACATCAGAAGCTTTTCCCGCTCCGATTCCTCCTCCTCTTACCCTCAACCTCTGTCACCATTAATTTCACCACCTTTTTGTTCCCGTCTCCGTCTGTCATCCTCCTTGACTTTAAGCTTTTCCTCATTCTGCTCCATTTCCTCTTCTCTCTCTGTTTACCTATGCATTCCTCTCTCTCTCGCAGAATAAAAAAGGTATTAACAGATATTTCCATAACCCAACTACAGGCAGAGGTTATTATTACAAACGGCACACGGGAAGCACGGACCACAAAAGCTTGATTATGTGTGTTGGAAATGTAAACCTTTCTCCAAACATTTACAAGAGCCTCATTTGGATTAGCTGGTCAAAATATGGACTTAAATGGTCCATCCTAGATGTAGATAAGGTGGAGACGAGCTGCTTCTATTACAGAGTTTTCACACCGATCTGAATCAAATCAACTCAAAACTATCCGCTGCAGTCATTATCCAAATATAATATATACTAGAATTTCTTAAATGATAAAGCTACATGGCGCTTATAGTTTAAAACACGCCTAGCCATATGCTAGACAATTTATAACAACAACTTTACTCTCCTTGTAAAAACGGTTGTAATGTTTTTCTACAGTTTAATAACGTGTCTTGAATAGTTTGTGACCGACAGTGTTTATAATGGCATAGAGTCATGGTTTAGTCTCACAGTGTTGTTGTTTTTGTAATAACATCTATGGAGAAGTCAGTTTTTATCTGATATGGCAGAAAGTTCTGCACAGTATTTCGACAGCTTCTCTTCACCTGAGCACAAACAAAATACTACATTTGTTTTTATAACAGCAGCAAAAACGGTTTAATCTAAAATGGCCATACTTGTTTTACTCACTGATACATGCGGTAAATGCGTCATTAAACAAAGACTACAATATCAATGTTGTGCGAAAACACTTATGTGCAATATGTACCTAGAGGATTGTTATTACTAGCTGCATTCTTAGTTAGACAATTTAATGATTGTGCTGTTATGTCACTCACTTGCAGTAATGTACGTTCTGATAAGCTCCAGTGTTTACATCCTGTTGCCTCCTAGAGCACAATAGCTTTAAATAAACAGTTATTTTGAATATGTTTTATAAAATCTTTAGAAGACACCCCGTTTTTCTTAAATACAGATCTTTCAGATTAGCCTGGGCAATCCCAACAGCTGTCAGAAACAATCATTATCATCCATCAGCCCAACCCTTAGATGTAGCGTAAGAGAGGAACACAATGGATTCTCAATGTCAAAGAACTTCTCCATACATTAAACATTCACGGTAACAGTAGAAGGCTTATTATTCTGCGCTCAGACCATAGAACAATTCCAGTACACAAAGAGTGACAGGAAACATAGAAACCGTTGTTGATTAAACTGCAATTTGATATAAAAAAAGTAATATGAAGTGAGACTGAGCCTGGCTTAATGTCGTCCATCTAGGCCATTATTTCAATTAATCTGATTATTTCCCTTCGTATATAGAGGAGCCGCAACCCTTCCCCCATACTTGTGAAGTTTATTCTGTGCGTTAAACCTTTACATAACACAGGGTCAGTCTTGCATAGTGGTGCGCGTCCAGAAGTCACAACAAACCAACTTAAAATCAGAGCCTATCAGTCCATCAACGCCATTATGGATTCGTTGAGCTATTTCCTAGATGAGTGGTCTTTTCACACATACACTAAACCAGGGGTGCCCAACCAGTCGATCGCGGGGAGATTCCCAATCGATCGCGAGATGTGTCTAAAAATAGAACAACAATATTCTGTTTTATCGTTAATGTCCTATAACATAATCTTCCCGTGCCAGAATAATGCACTTGAACGCACCAAAGCTTTGTGATTGGCCGGTGTGACCCCATGTGTGGGGGCGTGGCTGGTGGGCAGTGGGCATTATTTCGCTGACTTTGTGTCAAAACTAAAAGGAGTGACAGTCCGCACACACACAAGACCGTAATTATGGCAGAAGCAAGAAAGCCCAAAATATATAATTTTCACTCCGAGTGGGAGGATGATTATTTTTGTATCTATTCCAATTCAAAGTCCATCTGTCTCATCTGCAATGCGAGCGTGGCTTTATCGAAGAAGGGTAATTTAGGAGCGACATTTCAAAACAGTGCACAAACGCTACGAGACGGAATTCCCTCCTAATTCTGCCCTACGCTCCCAAAAGGGGAGGGGCCTGAAAGGACAGCTAAATGCACAGCAGTCCATTTTCACCAGGCCCAACAACAAGAGCAAGGCTGCTACCATAGCACCTTATCGTGTCAGTCACGTTCTTGCCAAACACATGAAGTCTTTCAAAGACAGCGAAGTTGTGAAAGAAGCATTCCTGGAGGCTGCCGACGCGCTTTTTGGGGACAGTAAAAATAACAGTAGCATTTCAACAGGTTTTTGATATAATAAAAACTCAAGTTGGATACCGTTATTAATCAGCTGTACGTTTTAGTTTGTTTGAACTTAGTCATTATAATTATTGTACACAATGGTATAAGAATGCAAACTTAAATTGATTATAGTCTATTATCAATTCAGGTTAAGAAACTAGTGTTGCTTGCATCCTATTTTAAAGGCATTTCCTTTTATACTCTACTAAAATTCAACAAAAAAAGGGTTTGATTCTATTAATTGTGTCTTTTTTATTGCACGTTGGCAGCAGATTCCTGTGTAGCTTCAGATCTGAGTTTATTAGTAAGCCTCATTTATACTTTTGTAGCAACACTATTTTTATATAATGGCAAAGAAAGGGTTCAGAGTCTTTTCTTTTTTTCCTGTGTCATATGTGGCAGCACTGTTCAATGTTTCTTGAATACATTACCCACTGTAGTGACCTGTGAATAAACTCCAACTCTGTATCAACAACACTGTTGTGTAACTTCAGTTAGATACTTGTATGTGTGTAGACTAGAAAGAGGTAAGATAAAGGATCTGTATTAATCGTACAAAGGTCAGTTTTATACAAGTAGAAGTGTGTATCTGGTAGTAGGCTGTCAGTAATGGCTACGCCTCTCTATTTGGACTGGTAGATCTCTGCAGACTGGCAACTTTAAAAGTAGCTCTCGGTTCAAAAAAGGTTGGGCACCCCTGCACTAAACTAAAGTCATAGTGCTCTTGTTAAAAAGACTAAATAAGGGAAATAAAATGTATCTGCTGATTCTTGTTCGAAGAGGGGCTTCACCTTACCTAACCAACCAGACTAATAACACCAAACATGCATGTGTGACTTCCTCCATGCCTGGAGGGAGAAGACAACAGGGTTAACAACTCCATGTGCAAGTGATGTCTTTGAAGTGATCGCAGTCTAACTTGACCTAAAAATGTCCAGAAAAAACTGGTGAGTGAAGACCAAGATAGCCCAGAAACAATCAGCCGTTGACCCGCCAAGCATATCAACTTGACACGGTCAAATGAAATGGAAAAATGACTTTAGTAGTAGTTCAAACCAATAGAAATTCTTCCTGTGGAGGAACATGCACAACAAGTTCCCCTTTTTATTTCTATGACTATTAATCTTGACCATTGCATAAAAGGCACATGGCTTTTGTCACGTAGCAGGGGAAAAACCAAATCGATCATGAGGTCAAATGTCTGTCTAGTCTATTATAAAACACCATGGATGGAAAGTGACGCATGAATAAAAACAATGGATCTAAAACGAAGGGATAGAAAAAGGTCAGAAAGTCAAGGACAGCCTGGAAAGAAAAGATAGTGTGATCTCCACCCACTTTGAAGACATCAGAGAAGAATCCAGAGCCGATCCACTCACAGGTGAAGTCATCAAGGCGTGTGAGACAGGAGAAGGCACTGATGAGGGCTCTGTAGGACGAGGGCCACACCCGGCCCACCTGAAGAACACAGGAACAGACTCGTTTCAACACGTTAACATCGTATCTCAAGGAAACCGCACAAACCTTGTGGAAAAAAAACATGGACTACTTATACTAAAACATTCAATGGTTTTATTCAAGGTCATTTGCACAATGGCTTCAGCGTTGGCAATGAAAATGTTTCCAGGATCCAACATTGCAACACATAGTACACTTAAAGGGGCCCTATCATGCTCATTTTCAGGAGGATATTTGTATTGGGACATGTCTCCATGCTTTAATGTTCAAAAAGCTGCTGCAGCACCTCTTTTCACCCTCTGTCTGAAACCAGAGCCCAGTCTGCTCCGATTGGTTAGCTGGCCGGCTTTGCTGTGATTGGTCAACAGCTTAGAGATGTCCAGCCCCTTAGCCTATCACGTACAATGTGTTGGAGCCATAGACTGTATATATAAAGTTGGAGCGCTAGCCAATAGAAGTGTGAGTGTTACTTAGTACAGGGACGGGAAAACTCAAATAAGCATAATAGGTCCCTTAAAGACATAAAAAGAAAAGGACATGAAATAGTGATAAACTGAATATTTGAGCTTCAATCAACAGTGCTCTTTGTTGCTCAACTACGAAACCATGTGTACAAAATAGCTTGGGAAACATTGAAAAATGTGTGAAATGTTTTTGGTCATATCGCATTATATTTATCTCATGAGCACACATTGTTCCATTGATGGAACGTTGTTTAATAGTGATAGACAAACAACAACAATCTTTATCAGAACGTTTGGCAACAACAATATTAATCCTCAAACCTCTCATAATGTATGACTGACTTTCCCTCCTGACTGTGGACAACAACCGACTCGGACCAACTTGGCTTTGGACCAAATGCATCAACACTTCATTTAATTTCAAACCTTTATTTATACAGATAAATCCCATTGAGATCATTGATCTCTTTTTCAAGGGAGACCTGCTCAAGTAGTTCCACATGAAACAACACTTACGTATCGTCCACACGGTAGTGTGCGTTGAAGCTTGCCGGTCACACAAGCACGCGGTTTGATTGGCTAGCGCTTGTGATTTGATTGGCTGACGCTTCCGTCGAAGCTTGAAAAGTTGAACTTTTCTCAACTTTAGAAGCGAGCAATGGAGGCAAAGCGACGGAACCACAATGCGGTTCGGCAAAGCCTGACGTCACCCCATTCAAAGTGAATGCCGTGTGGACGGGCCGTAACGGGCCCAGAGACATGATTGTTTTGATTGTGTCAGAGCTCTACATTGTTTTGTTTCTTTATCCAGAGCTTTCAGGAAAGTGGAAATTACATCATTAATTATTTAAAGACTTTTTGAACCTTCAATATGTCTGCACAGGAGCCCTGTATACTGTTACAGTATGTAAGCTCTGCACTAGGGCTAGAATATATATATGTAGATATTATATTGACATTGTGATATGAGACTACATTTCGTCTTACAATTTTAATACCGTAATATTGCCAAGTGTCTTTCCCTTGTTTTAAAGGCTGCGTTACAGTAAAGTGGTGTTTTTACTGAACTTACCGGACTGTTCAGGTTGTTAATATTTATTTTTTTACTATTTTAGCAATAATTAACACATAATGATGGCTATTTATCGAAAATGTAATTGTGTTAATATTTTGTAGAAAGCACCATTTGTCCGCACAACAATATTGACGCAATATATCGACATCAGGGTATTTGATCCGAAATATTGTGATATTGGATCTTCTCCATATCGCCGAGCCTCGCTCTGCACCTGTGAAATGTATCTACATGTTAATATAAATATGAAGAATAAACAGCGACTGACCTGTGGAGGCGGGCCCATCTCAAAGCCCATCTCAAAGCCCCCTACGCCTCCGACACCATCTCTGTCCTCGTCGATGCGTTCGGGTCGCGTCGGGATCCCAGCGATGGAATTGCGTTTATTCCGGTCCATGGTGTAAAAGATGATGCGGGTAATATGGGGTTTTTTCTGTGATGTACCCACATGACATGAGGACAGGATTGTTTGAGTGGCGCAGGGACTTTACTACGTTTGTTTCCTGGGAGAAAATGTGTCACGCACGTAGACTTCAGTTGAAACTGGTGTGTTTAGGGAGCGCCTGGTGACACAGTGGCTGGATCCAAGATGTCTCCTACTTGTTCCTCGCTGCTTGTAACTGGGGAGTCCACCAGGAGGAGAGGGTTTTCACATGTTTGAAAGATGTATAGAAAACCCTTGGATACCTAAAGAAATAAAAACAATAATTAATAATCCTAAATGATAATTAGCAGCTGCAGACTGGCCTAGGATGGAGGAGACAAGCCACTATTGCTCAACAGGCCCAAATGTAATGGCTTGTAATAGGGGCCGATTGTCCAATTATGGGAGATTAGCCAAGGAATAGCTCAGGTCCCGGACCTTTCTGCCATCCAAAACAAAATCAGCAGGGTACAAAGGGTAACAGGAAAGGAGGTCCATGACTAAAGGGCTTTACCCTCAAACAATGCGGCATTCATATCTAACTTTATTCCAGGGAAAGATCTATTTGGTTGATAAGACACGTTGAGTCACGTCGTGAATATATTTTCTACAATGGAAGAAAAGTTGAGTAAAACTCGACTTTGGTGAGTTTGGAGTTGTAAACAAAACTCCAGCTTAATCAGAGAAGCAAACTCCAAACAGCCCCTCTAATGGATAAGCAGACTAATAGGTCAATAATAATAAATGGGTGTCAGCTTTCTTCAGAACTTCAGTTGTGTTTAAGAAAGCTGTCGTAGAGTTACACTTGTGTCAAAATGTAACTTTAACTGCTTTTGAATAATGGAAGTCAAACAATGACTAACTTTTCCTTTGATGTTGAACTATCCCCTAGTACTAGTGCCTCGCAGTGAGCAAATGTGCATCATAAAACAGTCATGGTCAATTCACACTATTGGTTTTCAATACTACAAAGCCTGCCATCCCGCACCCTGAGATGGATGTACTTACATGCAACACAATGCTGTTCTATGACGGAGGTTATCAGAAATGTTAAGTGTACAAAAGACAACTATTGTAGTAAACATTTCCCAGCAAATGGGGAGTAGTTGCAGCCAAATGAAAGGAAATGCACTGAAGCGGCCTATAATAAACTAACGCAGAAACACAACAGTGAATCCTAGGCCAAGGAGAGGTCTCATGAGATCAGATACTAAAAACAGCTTTGATATGAGACAGCCGGATTCTGCTGTGTTAGCATTACATCACAGACACTAGAGTAGAGAGTAGATCTACTGGACGACTCCTGACATCATTCTCTGTCCCAGCAACATCCTTAAAAGGCTTTTCATCCTCCACTATCCTTGTTCTCTGCAATAACACTTCATTTTCTTCCTTGTTGAAGTGGTACGACAGAAATAAAAAGCACCAGCGCCAATAAAAATGCAAGCCACAAGTACCAGGGCCGAGGCTTTGCTTTTTCATTTCGGCAGCTTTCCCATCCAGACCCACAGCGGGATCAGAGACACACTGTAGCTCTCTCGTTGTATCTCAGACCAGAATAGGTCAGCAAGGAAAGATAGAAAATCCCCTTGGTTCAAAACAGCCAGCAGAGAAGAGCTTCTGTACCCACACACCCACATCAGTGGTCAGGCGATTCCAGCTAACACAACCTTCCTACGCTTACTAGAATTTCAGTGATGCAAATGACGCAAACAAATAAGAACGCACAATTCTGTGTTACTCTACAAGTCACAGCGGGTGGGCTGGAATCATCCCTCATTCAGGACGATGTTTCCAGCCTAAACTGACAACCAAAACATTTCTTTACACCCACTTCTGCAGTAAACACACACATCAGCCGGTAAACAAACATCCCAAACTACAGGGAAGACGAGCTAAGACACAACATAGTTTACAAATAGAAATAGGATCATATCACACCTGTGCTGTTGAGCAATATGAGCTAAATGAGTTATGCTGAGGAATATCATGGTGATGCTAAAAAAGGCAGAATAGGCAAGCCACCAGTGTACATAACTATATTTGTTTCTAAACCAAACCCTGTTGCCTACATATCCAAAAGACATGCATTTAAGACACCACAGCAAAGGCCCTCTTCATGGAAAAGGGTGGAATCTTTAAAGCCGGTCTATAAAATGTGGCTTGTTGCTACTCCAAAACAGATGGGACATCTCCGAAGCCGCCTCAGGCCATATGTTTTAACAGTAGTGCTGGGGACTGAACACTATCCAGCTGCGTCCCGCTGGATTACAGACTAATAGAAACCGTCAGCGATAAATCTAAAAGTTAAGTGATGTTATAATGATAGGGTGCAGCCAGGGTTGGAGTGTCTACACGGGCGTGTGTGAGGGACAGTTACTTGTTATAGAGAAATACTGTGTACGTGCATCACGAATGAAGATGAAACAAATCACACTCATTTAAACGTGAGAATATCTACTTATCCTTTCAGGGGTCTATTAATAAAATAATCTTTGTTTTAGTCATCTGCTGACCTTTTCTCATGTGAGTGGAATAGTTGAGGGACCTACATTCACTAAAAGAGCAATTATACCAAGTATTTGAGCAAGGTCACATTCAACAAAAGTGCATAGAAGCCTCTTATCTGACCACAATCTATTGTGTTGAATTGCAAAGATATGTGAGCTGCTGCATACCGGTCATTCCTCAAGGGTTTAAAGTAATGAACAAGTCCATGGGGCAGAGAAAAAACCTGCTCGTTATCTGGATACCAGAGACAGTTAATGAGTTAATGCTCGGACAGCTCGGTAAGTCGTATTAACCCATTCCTGACCTGAAACTGACTATTCTGGTTTGTGGGGTGGCACAAATCGTAATAATGTTTAAGATTGGTCAAACATTTTCGTTGAGTTATCCTAATATTTTGACTAAATGTCATTATATTTTAGTAGAAGTCTATAGCATTAAATGGCTGTTTCTTAAAAACGACAAGTAGAAAAATCAATGATTTGTCATCTATGTGCCTGATAACAGGTTGAATACCAAAGACATGCACACATAGGTCTACGCAGTGCAACAAATACTTCATACGCAGGATTTTTAAATAAAGTTTTTTTTCAAGAATCCCGATGTATACTATTGCTAAAAATGAGATTATACATGTGATCTAAAATGTCACGGTTCTTCTGTTAGATGCTTGCCCGAAGTGTGTGCAACCAGTTTTTGCTTGAATAGCATTTTTAATACAGGACTTTCACGAGTATTCCTACGGTATTTCTACTTTTACTACTTACTTACTTTGGTACTTCTTCCACCTCTGTGTAAACAAACCAAAGCAGTCAGTATCATCGTTGTAAAAATGTAAAACGGACTTACCTGTTATCAAGTCATGGAGATGTTTGCATGAATAACTCAAGCGGGGTCCCCACATGCCATTCCCAACTTTACAGCACTTGTCAAAACAACGAGCACGACCCCCTGAAGCTGGAAACGCAGCTGCTCAGAAACTAGCAAGGAATGCTAGTTTGTCAACAAAACTCGAGCTAAGCGAAAAGCTAACAAACATTAGCCTGAGAACCACCAACAAACACCAAACAGGAAGTTTTTCGTCGCTAACCGTTTAAAAGTCAAGATGTCCTTAGGGTTAATGCTAAAGGCGAACTCGAAGACTGCTCCTGTCGTCCTTGTTTCCACAAAAGAGCAAAGTACGATGTTTGTTGTACCGCCCGGGATAATATTTCAGGCGATTGTTGCTGTTTGACAGCTCCGTCGTCTCTTCGCTCTCACCCGAGTAAACTCCCACTGGCCCCGCCCACGTTTGATTGGCAGGTGGATTAACCAATCAATGGCCAGGCGTGTTAAACCCCTTTAACGATTAATAATAATAATGATGATAATTCATTATAATATTAATTACAACAACAACAACAATAATAATAAAATGATAATAATAATGATGATTATGATAATAATAATAATAATAATAATAATAATATACCTGAAGTATTTAAAAATATAAATAACATTTGATAAATAATAGGAGGTTTTTCTAAGTTTACTTAAAAAGAAGATTCAAAGGAAAGAATTATCAACAACATTTTTGTTTTTACAATTTGCACATTTCAGTTGTCCATCACTTCTATTACATGCTGTTAACAGTGCTTTAAAATGGTAAAAAAATAAAAAAATAGGCATGTACATAACATGAATTTGACTTTTGACTTGAATTTTGTAAATGTTGTCACTAAAAAGTACCTTTTGACCCATGACTTTAGCTTAAACCACTTCAAACACTTGGTGCAAACATTTTCTGGCAAAGTTAGTTTGAGCTCCCGAATGCAACCTCATTGGCTACTGCTTTTGTTAGTTTCCATCTTCATTGTGTCTCACCAAAGGTCTTTGATCGGCAACAAATTGGAGAACTTAAAGGGAAATGTTTTTATTTTTATTGTAAGGATTATGTTAACAGATGGCCACTGGTTGAATGTGTTGCACAGTTTGAGACTGACCGAAATACAATAAAGTATCTGGGTTTTTTATTGGCCAATAAATACATTAATGGCATGAGAATTGACCAATGCTTTAATAGTGTGTTTCTTTTTGAGAGAAGGTGACTTGACCTCAGCTGTTGTGTTCTCATGGAAATAGAGCCTCATCTAGTGGACAAAATTAGGAAGCACGGCTGCACATATCTAACTCAAACTACAGCAAGCTGGTCCCACAAACAGTGTTTTGCCACAAGCTTAATTAATTTGTTCTCCCCTACATACATACATACATACATACATACATACATACATACATACATACATACATACATACATACATACATACATACAGACATACATACATACATACATACATACATACATACATACATACATACATACATACATACATACATACATACATACATACATACATACATACATACATACATACATACACAACAACATTATAGGTTGTTATAAAGCTATTTACTGTTGTACTGAGCAGTGGCTCAGACAGTAGGGGCTTGGACGTGAGCCGTAGGGTCGCCGGTTCAAGTCCCTGACCAGACCTTAATATGGAGTGTGGACTGCTACTTGGAGAAGTCCCAGTTCACCTCCTGCCCTGCCGTGGTGCCCTTGAGCAAGGCACCGGACATCCCTCTTCCCCCCCACTCCCATTGCTCCCCGGGCGCTGTACAATAGCTGGCGCTGCCCACTGCTCCGAGTACTAGACTCCTGGTACTGGGATGGGTTAAATGCAGAGGCCAGATGTCATGTGTGTGCTGTGTGCTCTGCATGTGTGACCATTAAAGAGGGTTTCATCCCTCCCAATTATATTATATATTATGGATGCCCATTTCCTCTAAATAGTGGAAAACATAAAACTTTAAATATTTTGACTTAGTATCTCCTTTGTTTAATTTAGTATCTAATTACTTCTGACTTAGTATGTTAAGATTTTTACTTAAGAGCCATTCACCATGATATGACATAGTTTCTCAATATTTTGACATAGGCCTTTCACATTATTTTAAACAATGGATCTTTTGGATTTAATGTTTTTGACATAACATCTTTAACATTAAAGTTTGTTGTGAACCGTTTATTTGTTGTGTAAAGGAAGTGCATTTACTCAAGCATTAAGATAATAGAAAGGTTGTACTTGTTGTGAGTATGTTCACATTATGCTATACTTAATACTTTTACTCCACTACATTTTGTTGGCAAATGTTGTATTTTTTTACTCCACTGAATTTATTTTATAGATTTATTTACTTGCAACATTGCAGATAATTAATACAAAATATAAATCAATGTATACATTATTATATATTATTATATGTTAAGCTACCCAATGGTATAAATTAATTCAAACAAACCGCACATTTACCAAGTGCAACATTAAAGTGATGAACACGCTCATACATCGATAACTATAATACAATTATAACAAATATATTGTACATAAATGTTGCTTAAATGGGTCTATTCTGCAAAACGAGTGCGGAGGAGCCTGAATGTGCGGTTTGTTTTTAGCGTTCGATTTCCTGCTGAGGCCTTTTTGTCCCTCCGCCCACGCCGTAGATCCTCAATCACATGACCAGTTTCCATTTCCTATTACTATTGTATCACACTTCCATGTTTTTCGTCTCAAACATCAACCGTTATGTAAACCACAGACGTTGTCACTGTCGTGTGATTTGTCGCACATATAAAGTTAGTGAACACGTCCCGTCACCGCAGAGGGAAACAACATGGCGACCAACTGTGTGGTTTTCCAGAGCAAGTTAACCTCCATCATGGAGATCTTCGCTAAAGCTGCTGTGGTGGAGATCAGTAAACTGTGGGAGGACGGGTTCAACCTCGTTCAGGTGGAGCTGCGCCGCAGAGAGAGCGAGATTGAAGCCCTGAACAGAAAGCTGCTTTTGATGGAAAAAGAGCGCTGTCACACTACAAGTATGTCTTCTTCATCATCATCTTCCTCATCATCTTCCTCATCATCTTCCTCCAAAAGAGAGCAACAGAACGTGCTGCTGCCGCCCAACGGTGATGGTAAGGATGACGATCAGAGGTGGACAAAGTAATCAGATCTTGTACAAAAGTAAAAGTATTAGAGAGTAGGAATACTCTGTTACAAGTAAAAGTCCTGCAGTCAAAATGTAACTACAGTGGGTGAATATAGTTGTAAAAGAGGAGAAGAACCTTTTCCAATCAAGTGACTCAGAATCCATCACAAGCAGAATACTTTATTTATCTCAGGGGAGAATTAGGTTTTGTGCACCATTTTTAGAAAATGAATACATATTTCTATACACATCAGAAGTTAATTTAAAAATGTGCAACAGGGACATGGGGTCTGTGCAGTGGTGGGAGAAGTACTCCGATTCTTCACTGAATCATTTTCATTTAATTAAAAGTCCTGCTTTCAAAATATTAAGTAAAATTACAAAAGTATCAACATATACTTAAAGTACCAAAAGTAAAAGTAGTCATTGTGCAGATTCAGAATAATATATATATATATTCTCAAAGCTGGTAAAGGTGCAGCTAGTTTGAATGACTTTGTATACTGCAGGGTAGTTTGTGAATTTACTCCAGGTGGAACTAAAGTCTGATTCAACACTTGATTATATTTCACATCATTCATCCAGATCTGTAAAGTAACTGAAGGTATTAAATAAATGTAGTGGAGAAAAAGTACACCATTTACCTCTGACTTGTAGTAGAAGTACAACATTGAAATACTAAGTTAAGTCCCTCAGAATTGTACTCGAGTAAATCTACTTAGTTACTTTACACCACTGCTAATGATAAATAATGTACTGGAGTAAAAGTAGAAATACCAGAGTGTAGGAATACTCTGGTACAAATAAAAGTCCTGCATTCAAAATGTAACAAGTGCAAACGTGTTTTCACATGAAACAATATACATGAGGTGTACAACTTAACAGATATATTCTAGAGTTGAAACAAAACGTCATTGTGTCCATCATCAAACGTTATTTATCAGGCAAAAATGTCAAACATTGAGGTCTTGGTGATTTCTCATGGATTTTCTGTGATATTATGAAACCGTACCGAGACTACCCGTGTTACACTTTTACAACTGTTTATAGTTACAGTGCTACCACTATGTGTAGTACATGTTTACTGTGCAGGGTTCTTACGGTCATTGAAAACCTGGAAAAGTCATGGAAATTCAAAATGCTAATTCCAGGCCCTGGAAAAGTTATGGACAACAATATTTTTCCCAAAGTTTTGGAAAAGTCATGGAAATGTAACAAAATTTGCATCAAATATAATTTATATTTGATCTAATCGCGGAAATAGTAATAATATAATGATAATAAATACTGTATCTTATAGTAATGAAACGTAGAATGGCATTTAACTGACGAGGTGTTTTGCTGGTGAGAGATTTGAGTTGCTTTATTAGCGTGTAGAAGCTATAAGCCTATTTGATTTGTTTCAGATAGGCACAACATGTTTCAGATGCAGACCTTATTTTCCTGTTCCATGTTAAAATAAACCATTTTCAGTGGCACCGCTGAGAAAGAGTAATTTTTTTGTTCATGGAAAATTAGGTAAAGGTCATGGAAAAGTCATGGAAAATCATTGGTGAAAAAGTGTATGAACCCTGACTGTGTTCGTTATGTCTCAGCCACAGACACCACAAGTCTGGCAGAAACACCTGTTGGCCCTTTTGTACCTAAACTGGTTGATCTGAAAGCTTTGAAACCTCACTTGAAATGTAAATAGTTTCACCTTTGTTAAAGCACATATTACCAGAATCACCCTAATTTAACAACTCACTTGTGTACCAGTCTTTGTAAACTAACTACAGTTGATTTGACCAAAATTGGCACATCTGTCACATAGAAAAAAATATCTTTACAACAATATTTTGCAATGGAGCTGTCTGATTAAATGCCTGTTATAAAATGCACCTGCTTTGTCATTTCAGGGCCGATTATAGATTCAGTGCAGACATTGTGTTCCGATCAGAGCGTCAGAGAGAAGGCGGACACTTCAGCGAATCACCAAACGTCACCATCACAGACAGAAGAGATACAATGTGAGCAGCTCAAGTTGGACCTCTATTTGAGTGACGATGATGACGATGAAGACCTAATAGTGAAGCTTGAGGACGAGGACGACGTTCAGATCGTGGAGCAGACTGTGGAAACGGATCACAGCGTTAACGATGGTCACCTTGAGCTGGAGGTGGACCTCCAACCTGTCGAGGCGATGGAGGAACAAGAGAGCCAGCAGTGGTCGTCTGTTTCCGTGGGAGACAGCGACACTGTGGACGACTCGGACTGCTTCTTTGAGCCGAAGCAGCTGGCACAACATCTGGACTCAGAAATCCTGCTCATTCACAACGCTTTGGACATTTTTGAAAGTTCCTCCGAGGCAGCGTACTCGGACAGGTTTATGAGGGATGATGGACAAGGTGCATCGAGTAAATCAACTATGACTTTAAGCCAGGCTCAGCCAAGTCAAACTACAGAAGCGATACACCCAGAGAGAGGAGTGTCCATCAGGTTCTACCCAGATAAACAATCTCCAACTAAAGACTTTTCAGCTTTTAACCCGGACAGCCGATTCTTTCTTTTTAACGACCCCGAGTTGCATAAAACCATAGCGAGTGGCTGCATTAATGAGAAGTGGTACATCTGCCCGTTCTGCGGTAAAAGCTTCGATCGCGTCAGCCACCTGGAGATTCATCAGAGGATTCACACGGGAGAGAAGCCGTACACATGCGAGATGTGTGGAAGGTGCTTCTCTCAGAGGAGCAACCTGCGCACTCACCAGCGGACTCACAGAGAGGCTCTTTCCCAAAACGCAGTTTGAAGATTGTTGTGAGAAAATATGTGTGTCGAGATGAACTAACCAATTCCCTTTTTATAATACTAAAGAGTAATGTAGCCGACTGATTTTACTGTGCATTTGTTCTTTATGTTAAAATATATTTGAACTTTGACATAGGTTGGAGTGTAAAGACTCATTGTTGGACTTGTGTACTGTTCGTTAACCCAGCCGTTAAGAGATTCATCAAGGAAAACCATGTGGGGCATCCCGCACCTCTCCAAGATGGTAAACCTTGCAAATCTACACATGAGCATTATTTCAGTTATCAGAAATAATGAGGATGTAAACCTGTAAACCAGGAAATCTAATATAAGTTTAAAAAATGTTGCGATCTATGATCCCTCTATCTTCATGTTGAGGTAACACAAAGTAAATTGTTTGAAGTTTTAAAAAGAACAACGACTCATACGCTGTACTTTTACAAATAAACCTTTTAACATTTATGTCTCCTTTTCAATTTCATAGAAAAACACTGAGTAAATAAACAAAATGTACATTTCGACACAACCGGGACGCTGATACAGATCTTTGCTCTGCTGGTCTGGATACCAGTTAGCTGCTTGTATCCATAAAGTAACCGTCTCTGTTCAGGTCTGCACCCTTCTTGACATTCTTGTTGAACTTTAATGACTTACATTTATACAGTATCTCGTTATAGCTCTTCCTTATTTACATACACAAATTCACACACCTCAGCTGCTGCATCCAGGCTGAAAATACCAAAGCTTTGAGGACAGTTGACTCTTGACATGACCAGGCATTAGAGCTCAGAAACGGTGTCCCTGTCTTTATGTTCCTCCCTGAAGGATTGTAAACTAGGCACCTTGTGTTGGCAGTCAGGATAAATTGGGACTCTCCCTTTAGTGGATTTACATATGTACAAGTCACCAGAGCAGAGGTTGGGTGATTTCGGCCCCCTGCAGTTAAAACAGTAAACATTCTTGTAACAGGAACCGTCTTCCTTACACGTTCAAGGAGATTGACATGCTATTGTGGTTAACAAAGCCAAATTAATTAGGATAGAAACATTTCTGAATATTGGGCACCCTGGTGGTCATCCATAACATCTCTAGTTCTTGTCTGGTAAGGAACCGTACCCTTATTTCCTATGATCTCTCCACTGTCTAATAAAGCCATCAAATGCCCCCAAATATTGTTTATTTAAAGGTCCCCTATTATACTGTTTTTCATCAATATATTACAGGTCTCAGATATATACAGAACATGTCTCTGAAGTTTTCTCCAAACAGATCATTGCAGCATTACCCATAATCCCCTCTGTTTCCAACACTTCAGATGAAAATAAGGAGCCGCTCCCCACGCCCCTCTGAGAGAGATTTGGTTACAAAGAACACAATGGTGCTCTAGGAGGAGATTCAGGTGATAAGGGGGTGGGGGGTTACCTTGGTTACTGATTGGCTAATGGTTACTCAAGCCAAAACATCGTTATGACATCATAGAGTGGCCAAAATCTGATCAGCTCATTTTCAGACAGGTTTCTATAGAAATGGATCAGGACAAAAAGAGAGAATCTTTTTTCCTGAAACTTTCAGAGTCTCTTTACACAGAGGGGACACATGTTGATGTAGAAGAGACATGAAGAAGTGGATTTTGCATAATAGGTGACCTTTAAGCGCTCAAATTGGACGACCCATCGCCGGCTGGTTGGGATAAATAACTCTGGCTAAAACTTCCTGATCAGAGATTTCCCAGATCAGTTTGATTCCCAGCTGGCCAACAGTTTGCTGCATATCATTCCCCTTCTCTTTTCCCCCCCCCCAGTCGTTTTCACTACCAAAGAAAAAGGTATAAAATGCCCCCCCCCCCTCCCCCCAAAAAAAAGTCCCAATTAATGTCATGAGGATAAAGGATAAACAACTTACAAGCCAGAGGCAAAATATTCAAGTTTGGATCTATCCTGGGGGAAATGACCCCCTGCAGTCAATGTATACAAAACAAACATCCCGTTTGAACAAGAAAAAGGTCCTTTTAGATGCCGGAATGCCGGCTCCTTTCATGTTCTGTGTTTAGATGATCTGTGCTAGATGATCTGTCCTCGGGGGTGCAGCAGGATGGCGTTGGAGTGCGGCTTCGGCCTGAGGATCCCGTTGCTGTAGTAGAAGTGGTTGTTGAGGGCCTCTGAGATGTGGAAGGAGCTGCTGCCCACCTCCTCCTCGTGCCCCTCCACCACCGGGGGAGGTGGCCAGTCCTCTCCCACCCCCTGTGGAGAGTCTCCCTCTCTGGGGGGGGCCGGGTCCGGCTGTGTGGGCCCATCGCCTTCGTCCTGCTGGGCCTTCAGGGGAACCAGGGAAGAGGGCAGACCTGAGTCCTGGTTTAGACAGCATAAAAACACATTACTGTTTCTCTGATGATAAAAGGTCTGGGTGTAAATACAATTTACGCCTATGCCTTTTCATAAATTAAAATGGTACAAGATCCAAAAGCCCTTAGTTAAATGTAACTGACAATATACAATGACCTGAAAACACTGGGGGTGAATTGTATTCAGATACTTAACTTAAAAAACCACAAACACACAAAGAAAAAACCGCATGAAACCCTTACTGTGTTCAAGGTAGCAATAAAGACTAAATACGGTTATGATGCATTCACTGGAATCAGTCCAAACGTTTAGACCACATGTATACTTTACTACGAGTACATTTGATCCTATTTGTACATAAATCAAAGAAAGGGTGATGATTTGAAAACAGACGTAGCTAACCAGACAGAACTTGTACTAAAAAAAATCCCAGCTGCTGAATATGGAGTTTGTCTGCAATGCGTCATCTCCTGTTTCTATGAATATGTCTGACAGTGACGATGCCAATTTGCCAGTAAGTAAAACACGATACTGTATGACACATCAGCAGCGAAACTGGCTGCTTCGTGGAGTAACCCCTCAGGTGCTGACACATACCAGCGACATGTTGCTGCTCTTCAGGTACGACTCCACCCTCCTCCTGCGTTCCTCCTTCTCCTCCAGCTCTGCTCCTCTCAGGCTCTCCCTGCCGTTTTGCCAGACAACGGGACGTCCCAGTTCGTCCACCTCCACCACCCCCGAGGGCCCCCACTTCCCCCCCAGAGTGGACTGGCTGCCTCGGTAGATGGGCTGTTCCTAAGAGGGAGCGGACCCAAACAGTCACAACACTGAGAACAGCTGTTTGAACCTCAACCTGAACTTTTGAAAGAACACACATAACATGCATCTGTTTGCAACTCATATCAATATTCCAATTATCATAGACTATTCTGCACAGTTTCTATTATATTCTGTTTCTATTATATTCTATTTTATTGTATTTACTTGTACTATCTGTTTTATTGTGTTGCACTGTTTTTCATTGTCATAACTACACTAGCTATGCACACATGACAATAAAAGCCTTGAAACTTTGACTCATCGCCAATTGAGCAACTGTAAATATGTATCATTGGTTGCTTTTTAAATTAATAATTTCAATTAAAAAAAAACGAAAGCAAGCGAAACCACATTTCTGGTACAAATGTGACAGTTTTCATTCAAAATGTGGAAAATCGATCCTCAAGACCAGATGTTTCTTACTTTCGCAGTGAAAAACGCTTTAAAGAAAATGCTGTCTTTGAATGGGACGTGATGTTGCCATTGAATCCAGAATACTGAATGAAGAATATTGAGTAACAGGACTTCTGGTAAATCAGTATGGACAGTATGTTTGACAGCAGATGGATAATCTTTCATTTATGCAAAGTTAGGCAAGAACAGTATGTTGTTTGGATCAAATCAAAATGAATAGCTGGATGGTCAGGGTTTCCGGCAAATGATTGCTTGCTCTTCCAGATTGGAGCAATTTGAGGAGAGGTCCGCCTTCAACAGTGTTTTCAATAGGTAAGAGGGAGGCCTTTTGCAAGATGGGGTGTAATGTCATGAAATGTTCAGAGACTACTAAATGTCATAGAGTTGGACTCACCAGAGAGATTTCGCTGTTTTTCATTCGGCTGTCTACTCTGAGCAGGCCGTAATCTTCAGACTGGGGAAAAAAGAGAGTTAATCAAAGTTAGTGATAAATAAAATCCACACAGAACGAGATATTAATAATGCACGTCTATGAACACTGTGTGTGTGTGTGTGTGTGTGTGTGTGTGTGGTGTGTGTGGTGTGTGTGTGTGTGTGTGTGTGGCCTAGCATTACTATACTTGTGGGGACCTAAATCTGTTTACACAGTCACGTGTGGGGACTGGCCTCCCTTATGGGGACAAATTGGAGGTCCCCATAAGGGGAATCATTAATTTTAGGGTGAAGACTTGGTTAGGTTTAGGGTTAGGGTTAGGGTTAGGCATGTGTTGGTTATGGTTAAGGTTAGGATAAGTCGCCAGGAAATGCATGTAAGTCAATGTAATGTCCCCTGAAGTGATGTATACATGGTATGTGTGTGTGTGTGTGTGTGTGTGTGTGTGTGTGTGTGTGTGTGTGTGTGTGTGTGTGTGTGTGTGTGTGTGTGTGTGTGTGTACCTGCACTCTGGGGTCTGTGCTGACTGAGTTGAGTCTCCTAAAGGAGGCTTGTCTGGAGAAGCTTTGAATTTCCTCCCTGGGGGAAAAAAGACAGTGAATTTGATCTTTGAACATCAGTTTCCCCACAACAACATTCACGGCACATCTGTCGTAGGAAATAAATACAAGTATATTTCAGTTCCTGGAAAAAACATAGTTGGTGAGTCGGCTTACGTTTTCTCGCTGAGCTCCATCTCGAGCTTCTTGTTTTTGTGTCGATGGTAGCGGTTGACCAGCAGGACGACCAGGACCAGCGCCACGACCAACGCCCCGGCCGACGCACCGATGATGATCAGAAGCAGGTTTTCGACGGGGGTCTCACCCTGACGTCTGGTCTCTGAAAGAAGGATGAGGACAGGAAGACATGAGGACATTTTCTTACATAAAACACAGCAACAAAAACTAAAGTGCTGTCGTGTTATACAGAATCTTTGATCCTGATTGATCTGTTCATGCCTTCTATCCACCACTAGAGGGCAGCAATTGTGCATAATTACTACAAATCCAAAGGAGAACCTTCTTTGTATATTTTGTTTTACTTTTGCCATCTGATATGACAACGACTTTCACAGTTTACATTATGTGAAGTTATGTTATCTTCTGTTATCTACCTTAACTATCTTATAGTTAAATATTCTTTTTTTAAATGCCCTTAAAAGATATGCAACATAAAAATCTTAACATTTGATTGTGAATTGTATTCAAACACCTTATTGTGTATTTGGAAGAATAAAATGTGTCTGGAAGAAGGGATGTTATCGAAGCAAAATAGCCCAAACTCCCAAAACTGAAAAAGTGCCTCTAGTGTCTTATCTTAAAACTAAACTGTACTTATAGATCCATGTATTGGTCCTCTCATGTCCCTATTCTACAATACCAGCAAAGCATACAGTAGCCGGTGAGTTTCCCTTTAAAACCTTTGTAGTTTTAACTAGTAGCAAAGCTGAAGTGCACTTACCTGTGACTGTTACTGTGAACTCTGCTGCTCCTGCTCCCACCTCGTTCCTGACCACACACTCGTATACCCCGCTGTCATTCATGCGCAGGGCCCGCCCAAAAACTAGTTTTTCTCCAACCATGGACACCCAATCCGGCAAAGCCCCTCCTTTCCTGTGAATAATCAGAGCAAAATGTCACGATTACTTGGCAATGATGATGCACATGACATGGACTCATCAATCAAAAACATAGAGAAACCTGTGACTCAATGACCGAAACAAAAGCTGTGCAATCTTGCATTCCAATTTAAAATATTTGTGTTGAGAAGAACACACACATATCTATGAAAGAGGATTAGGGCCATAAGAGAAAAAATGTGTGGGATGTGACAAGAAGAGTGGCCCTCGTCCTCTTCCGTAGAAACCAAAACAGCAGCATTATGTGTGCAAAAAACTGGCATGCATGACGGAAGTGTTTCTGCAGAAATAAATGCTACACAGGATCAGGTTCACCAAATAGTGTAACCACCAATTCACCTGCAGCTGAACCAAAACCGGCTGGGCTTACCAACTGGCGCCCATTGATGTGAATACACCCAATAAATACTAGGTTTGAGGGATTTAAGCAGGTCCGGCAAGCCCCTCTGAAGACATCACAGGCCACATAAAGGAGAGCCAGTTTCTGATCAGGTCCACTGAGGGGGTCATGTTGCATCGGTTTCACCGTGCCGCAGCAGCACCCCCCCCCCCCAAACTGGAGCCAGCTCAGATTTCTTTTCTCAAAACCCCACCTAGCTTCTCTAACCAGCGCTTTGTAAAACAGGTGGAGATTGCATCCGACACAGAGGAGATGGTGGAAAATGATACAGATAAAGTGAGAAATCCACTTTTAGCAGCCAAAAATATTCTTATCTGTTTTGTGCTGCCTCACAATCTTTGTAAGGGAGTTATCAAAGCATCAAACAGTGAGATGCCGGTTGGTGTTTTATGTTACATGTATGCAGAGCAAGGCTATCACTTCCCCCTTGTTTCCAGTCTTCATGCTAAGCTAAGATAAATATATACAAGTTAAAAGCTTCATATTTACTGTAGAGACACAAGAGTCGGACTGCTCTTCCTATCTGAAGCTCCAAAATAAAGTTAACAAGTACATTCCCCAATATATCGACGTATTACGAGTTGAAAACTAACGTCTCTGGAGTTAAACACAGAATGGTTCGTACTGATGATCGCGCCAATGGGTCTGCGAGGTTGAAAAGCTTTAATCCAGAATAATCTTAATATTTCAAGATTGCTTCATGGCTGAAATATTTCTCACTCAGCACACACAACATTTGATCATTGTGTATTCAGTCGGAGCTGTAATGGCTGGTACAGTGTCTCTAATTTAAGTACAGACCCTGTGTTTTACCAGGCATTAAAGTGATATTTAAAGCATGGCACTATGATTAAGTGCTTAGCATTAGTCTCCTGCTCTTCCTTGTGTCGCGCTCTTCCCTCCCTCGTGTGAAAATATCTCCCTGGCTCTTTTTCTGACTTCAAATTGCGCAACACGACACCGCTGCTTTTATTCTGAGATGAATTGAGGCAGGATAGAAAGGCGCCCTCCTTCAGATTGAAGCACACTTCATTGTTGTTAAAGGGGGTTGTAGACCGTGTGTATGTGTGTTAGCAGTGGCTTATATATGCTTGGAGACACATTCCAGTGCCATGTAAAGAGCAGTTTAGCAGCATCGCTGATAGCATCGCAGGGGGGTGAATTAACATGTAATTGGCAGACAGCCTTATGTGTTTGTGTGTGTTTTTGTTTGTGCATTTGTGTGTGTGTGTGTGTGTGTGTGTGTGTGTGTGTGTGTGTGTGTGTGTGTGTGTGTGTGTGTGTGTGTGTGTGTGTGTGTGTGTGTGTGTGTGTGTGTGTGTGTGTTGTGTGTGTGTGTGTGTACGTTTTCAGCAGACATGTAGATGACAGTACCTCGTCCAGGTGATGTTCTGAGGCTTGGGGTATCCTCCGCCGCTGCAGATCATCTCAGCGTTCTCCATACCCACATACCAGTCCTCTGTAGTGGAGGAGATGATGGCATCTGGGGGGTCTGATAAAGAAACACAGACATGATAGCATAAGCATGCAGTTACACAACATGTGTACACACTTGCTGCATGGTAGAGCAAAGAGGAACTTGTATCAGGTCATTTAACGGGGCCCTATTCTGCTTATTTTCAGGTCCATATGTAGTGTCTCCACTGGGACATGTCTCCATGCTTTAATGTTATGTGTCTCTGTCTGAAACCAGAGCCCAGTCTGCTCTGATTGGTTAGCTGGCCGGCTCTGTTGTGATTGGTCAACCGTTTAGAGATGTCCCACCCCTTAGCCTATCACAGGCTACGTATTGGAGCGCTAGCCAATAGAAGCGCACATTTGATGTAGTGATGTCACTATGTTACGTAAAGTCAGACAATTGATGTGCACACAAACCAAAAAAAAAATCAAAAAAGCAAAATAGGGAAGAAAGTTTTCAATCTATAAAACCCACTCAAATGTTTATCTTTATTTATCCAAAGATCAAGTTGCCTCAGATTTAAAGCTGTTATTTCAGCATTACTTCATGTCCTCATGCTAACGACGTTTGCAGAAGTGGGACAAAGTCAATGTTTTGCAAGTCTCAAAAAAGTCCCACGGCTTGGAATTAATTCTAGAGTTGAGTTAAATTTGTGTTTAGAGTCGTTATGCATCACATTTCTAACAGTTTGAACAGTACAAGAATGTGTGTTCTTAAAGTATGTCCTTTCAGTGACAATTTAATTTCTGAGGTAAATGTTTAGCATTTTTCTGACGACCTTAGAGTCTTTACGTGTAGATGTGACAATCTTAGGTATTATGGGATGTCTGTCTGCTTGTTTGCATGTCCAGACGGATCTTTTCCTCATGCTCAGGCAATGTGATTAGCTGTCAGATGTATTCAAATAATGTACTTCCATTGTTAGGAAAAAAAAAAAAATTGGAATTAAGTCATTCCGAGACAAAAATGTGATGTCAAAGTGGAGTCAGTTGGATAAAAGACAAGTTGCAAGTCTGATTGCAAAGTCAGATTTCTGTCGAGTCAAGTCTAAAGTCATCAGATACATGACTCCACTCTTCTGTACACCATTGAGCTGGACAAAGAGCGATTGTGCCCTGAAGGAACCAAAGTTGTAGTGCTTCTCTCCGACTGCACTGACAGTAATCGTGGAGGACGAAGCATTACTCCCAGCAACCTGCCAATATTGTCTCACGTTTAGTCTCCAGCCAACTATTTATTTTCTCCACAGAAAGGATAAGCTATACAAATATCTCTGGCGGGGAAACTAAAGGGACAAATGTCATTGGTCAAACTAGCCATTAGCAGGGGGAGCTAAAATAATTGGCTGATAGCCCAGCAGAGAAGGTTGAGCTAAGTCCTGAATTCATACTATATACTTATTTAGAGCAGATTCACACCATGCAGTGTTCCCAATTGAGACGTTAGGAATACCCAAACAGTGCAGAGATGTGCTCCATTTTCCAAAATGTCATGTAGAAAAGAAGTGAAGCTGCATCTGCAAAAAGTTAGATAAAGTGTGGTGGTTGGAAAAAACGACACCGGAAAAAAATGATATTTAAATATTTGGAAAACTTCTTGAAAAAGGTAAACCATGAGGATTTCTTAGTTTGTAGTGTGGATTTAGAGCAGAGCCATGCTGACTTAGTCATTAGAAAGTCTCCTAGTTGTCTATTCAAGTTCAAACAAGATCGAGGTTGGCTCATCTTGGAAATCCTCCAAACTACTAACCTTATTAAGTCATGACGAACAACATCACCGTCTTTTTTCTTCTTCTGTTAGACTGTAATAGAAACTCCACACTGCAGACATGTTGACATGTTATTGCAGGTAAAGCACAGCTGGAGCTGAAAATAAGGAATGAATAACTGCTGCATTTCATCGAAGTGTTCCCACGGCTCTGCTGTGATTTTCTTATGGACACACCTTCATTTAATAATAGTTTTATCGGATTGATTGATCCTTTAGCCAAGAAGGATATGTCTACCTCCAGGGAGAACTGGTCAAGTGGGCGGCTTTCACATCAAATACTTCAAGATGTTGAAACACATTGAATACATAAAAGCAAATAGTAAAAGAGGTGAGAGGGACATATTGACCGGAGAACACATTCAATCCTAGTCAACAAAATGATCTTATTAGTTATTAGTTACACTTGTTGTTACACAGAGTTTATTTCCTTAGAAGAGTCCAAAGCAAAGCCCATGCTATGACCTACCCCATGCTATGACCTACCACAGAAATCTTCTGCACATTTGGACTATTTACAGAGCTTTCACTGAACTTTAGATCAAATTCAGTTTACTCAGGTCATGATGTGATGAACGCTTGTTCTTTTTGACTGTGCTGTTTTGTTCCAGGAAATAAAGGAGCTTGTCACGGCTGCAGCAAGAATCTAAACAAACTGTGGTTGGTGGCGAGAAAGCTCACATTCTCTTTTGTCACATTGTTGTGATTTTAATCCATCCGTGGTTGTACAGCATTTTTTAAGTATATTCATTTTCTGCATACCAACTTCAGAACAGTACACTATGACATGATTACAACACATACAGAAGATAAAGTGTCTTTTGTTCCTTCCACTGATGTTAAACTCCACCAGTAAGACTATTTCTGCACTAAGAGAAGCTCTACCTTGATGATAGTGTAAAGTTAAAACTCTCGTAATGCTTAATTGTTCAGAATCAGAACGCTTTATTTTTCCCAGGAGGAAAATGGGTTTTGTTTGAGGGTTGCATCATTTTAGAAAAACATAAATAAATCAAATCAACTCTCCACATCTTTCAAACCACTTCAGGGTCCATCTGATCAAAGTGTATTGAATTGTTCTGACCTGCATCTTAAAAACACACACACACGACCCCCCCCCCTCCTTTTCTGTTTTATTATTATTATTTGTATGTATTTATCTTTTCACATGTCTATTTTATTATTATGTATTCTTTTAATGATCTCGTTTTTTTCTTCTTATTTTGGCTAAGTAGATACAGCTAAGTGAAAATGGAAAAACTGTTGACCAAAATGTGAACATGTATGTATAATGAAACTGAATCTGAAATAAAAACTAAGTAAAACACACATATATATATACTGAAAACCAGATAGTCTATCCATGGGTTTAAAACACTGATCCCTCCCAGCAGTACTCACACTGCACCACCAGGCGGTTGGAGATGCGGCGCGGCTGCTCCAGGCCGGGGTGCCACACCAGGCAGTCCAGCTTCTTCCCCGTCATGCTGCGCAGCGGGTGCAGGGAGTAGTAGCTGGACACGGACCCGCCCTCCTGGGTCCGGTTCAGGGACTGTCCCGGCAGCTCGGTGTCCCAGGTGAGATGGGGGGACGGGCGGCCCACCGCTCGACAGGAGGCGGCCACACGGTAAGACTGACCCTCCACCAGGATCACCGGGTCCAGAGAGGAGATGGGTAGAACTGAGAGGAGAGGAGGAGGAACATGGTCAGAAGAGGAATCAAATCCTCAAAATCCACCCGTGCTGCTCCCTGTAGGCTACATTTAAATGAATATGTATTTAACCTTGTCCCATATCTGTATGTATCAGAATCGGAATCAGAATACCTTTATTAGTCCCACGGAGGGGACATTTACATTGTTACAGCAGAAAAGAGCTAAAGACAGCTTAAAGGTGGCGGGGTAGGTAATTTTGGAGAAACCAGCTCGAGTGCGCTAGAATTTGAAAGTACACAACCGGAACAAATCTGCCTCTTCCTTCAGACTTCCTTACTCTGTATGTAAAAAAACACCTGTATGTAAATTGTAAATAAGCCATCTGTATGTCAAATATGTCTTAAATGATATGATGAATTAGAAATGGGGGACCCTGATGTAAACAAGACGAAAGTCTTTCTCTGGTCTGCATCTCCTTAACAATTGTATGTTTTGAGCTGTACTGTAGGCTACTGTACCCAATATACAAGCTGTTAATACACTTTTCAATCAATCAATCAAAACAGAGCCCCTCCTCCAACACACCACGAACGCGCACATGACCAATGAGGGCACGAGATAAGTTTGTGCACAGATGGAAGGCTGACAGGCAGGTAGGCCATCCAGTTATTTTAGCCCGGCCGGCTCAGATGATTGGTCGTGCTTTTTACAGCGCCACGGCTTCCACATTTATTGTCAAATCATTTAATATATTCATTGCTATCGGGATGTTAAGAGCATTCCATGGAATATAACAAAAAGTATTTCTGAAATAAATTACATACCCCACCTTTAATGTAAAAGTATTAAAGATAAAAACAATTCTAATAATAAAAAAAGTTACACAATTTACAAAATACACACCCTGTAACAGTTCTGAGGATTTAGCAGCCAGGTATATATTGCACAGTTATTAACAGTTATTATATATATATATATATTGAACAGGGTCACTAAAGAGGAAAGAAAGACTCCAAATCCAGACGCAGTGCTTCATGCAAATGTATATATATATATATATATATTTAACCTTGTCCCATATCTGTATGTACATTCACCCATGGCCAATCAGATATTAACTCATGTCATTTTTGTTATTTCTATTCATACTGTTGCTACTAGTTTATTTTTTATTATTTTACTTATTATCCCAGTGTATATTGTCATGTATCTGTGTTTCTGTCTTATTCTGTTGCTGCTATAACACCTGAAGTTCCCTACGGGGATCCATAAAGCTCCATCTTATCTGATTTGAAATGTGTTTTTCTTATTCTTACTTCACTTGGATGTTTAACATTCTCTGAGAGGATTAGTGTTTGAGGTTTGAGTTAGCTGCTTTCGGCATTTGAAGATGGAAGATTGTGTGATTGACAATGATGAGCTGATCTCACAGCGTATTGTAAATGGCTACTGCCTGAGATCTAAAGCTGTGGTTGTATTACATGTGCCAACTGCTAGGACTGTATTAGGAAATACAGCTTTTAGATGCGCAGCACCGCTAGCATGGAACAGTCTACAAAAGGAATGGAAGCTAAGCAGTTTGATTCCATTTCATGTTTTTAAAGCTAGGATAGATGCTATACAATCAGAAAATATTGGTGTCTGTAAATGCTACTAGTATACAAACTGTAGTATCATATAATGTCCTTTGTTTTCTGTCATGTTTGTATTCATGTTTGGAACTAATTAAAGCAGGTCACCATTGTAAAAGAGGTCTATGATCTGGGTTTTATCTGTATAAATAAAGGTTTTGAATTGAATTGAATTGAATTGAGCTTAACCACTTCTGTGATCCACATTGCTTACAATTACTGCATTAAGATTGAATCAATACTTCCTAAATCCTGCTCATAGTTTATCTGTCTTTACCTAAAATTACCTACAGTGACAGTAATTGGCTTCCTTAAATCTAGGACGTCACTAGATATTTGTGTAGTGATCGTCTTTGTACGTCAGAGACAAGTTTGAGGCTCATTAAGGTCTTGTTGCTGACAGATTCAGATAAGAATAGTGTTGTAAAAAAAAGACATAATTCATCCTGGAACATAATAGAGAAAAATAAGCACAACTTGGAGTTAACTGAAGAACCAACCACGTGAGGTACTGTCACGTATGAACATCATTCATTCAGAAAGTCTCCACTACAAGTCTATCATTGTTGTGCAAGAAGAAGTATTTTTAAAAACATGTGGGAAAAGGCTTCACATAAATACATTTCTGTTTGGTTACTCTCGGTCACCAACTGGTTAAACGCGATTGTGGTTCACGCCCCGGTCATGACAGCCTTTGCTGTAGTAAACACCTGGGAAGACTTTCCATTGGTGCTCGGATTATTAACGTAGAAGTCAAAACACGTAGAGCATTAGCAGAAATATCCATTAGGGATTATCAGACAAAGAAAAGGTCTCCACCCTAATAGACTCTAACCTTATAAACAGAAACTACAGGGAACATGACATCACAAACACGCCGTCATCCGTGTTTGATTGACAGATAATATGTGGGAAGAGATTACCTGCAGGGATATATCCTGCACAGAAAAACGAAATGACGAAACTACTTAATCTTTTAATAAGAGATAATTCATGGCTAAATACAACCAGCTAAATATACACAAATCCCATTGAAAACAATTCACTGAATAAAAGAGAATGTAATCCAGATGTATTTACAAATGAAATCAAAGCAGAGCATCTATATGTAGCTTATGGGTTCATGTGTGTGTGTGTGTGTGTGTGTGTGTGTGTGTGTGTGTGTGTGTGTGTGTGTGTGTGTGTGTGTGTGTGTGTGTGTGTGTGTGTGTGTGTGTGTGTGTGTGTGTGTGTGTGTGTGTGTGTGTGTGTGTGTGTGTTGCGGTAGTTTTGTCTGATCTTTGGCGTGTCAGGACAAGTTTACGACGGAGCTGTCACCGTTGATGGCGGAGCAACATGAGAAAAATAATTGAAGGAACAGAGAGCAGCGCTGCAGGTTTTACTTGAAGGAGTGAAGCAGCATTTCCCACACTCTATTATGTCTCCACTGAAATCCTTATGCAAGGCAATTGTCTCAGTAAGTGGAAGAAGGAGGAGATCCAAAATGAAAGACATCAATCAGACAATGACAGCACTGCAGAAATAGAAAATGTCTAGATATTTAATACGTGAACATTTCGTTTTTTTGTGAGTTCAAAAGTTTGCAGAACTCGATATTTCTTTCATATGAAAGACTTGTTTTGAGACTTTGAATGTGTTAAAGACCAGATTTTTTTTATACTATTAGTTTAGTAATTAACCTTTTTATGTTTCAGAGTTAGTTAAAGGTGGGGTAGGTAAGTTTGAGAAACCGGCTCGAGATACACTTTTTGTTATATTCCATGGAATGCTCTTAACATCCCGATAGCAATGAATATCTGAAGTGCTTTGACAAAAAATACATTAAAAAATGTCATCTGTGGAAGCCGTAGTGCTGTAAAAAGCACGACCAATCATCTGAGCCGGCCCGGCTAACTGGATGGCCTACCTGCCTGTCAGCCTTCCATCTGGGCACAAACTTATCTCGTGCCCTCATTGGTCATGTGCGCGTTCGTGTGTGTTGGAGGAGGGGCTCTGTAAGGAAGTGGCAGATTTTTTCCGGTAGTGTATTTTCAAATTCTAGCTCACTCGAGCTGGTTTCTCCAAAATTACCTACCCCACCTTTAAGTGATGGAAACTGCTATGATATTAAGAGTGAAGGCCAACTCTTACAAGTGCTTGATGGAGATTAACGGATGTCTTGTCTGTTCCATATTTTTTATGTATGTTAGTACTTTAATTTGATATTGTCGTTGCTTTTTCCATACTGTTGTCTCTCCGGTTAATAGGACAACCTGTTGTGTTTCTTTACACACATCTAAAGGAGTCTGAGGAAAGCAGGTGTAAAGCCCTGTGTGGTTTTGGGCTATAAAATGTACTAGTCTCAACTTGGAAACTTAACACAAAGTCAAACCCTGTGGTTCGAAACTGTTTCTCTTTTATTGTAAAACACCCTTCACATCTTGCTTGGGGCTTATGAATACATGAATATCATCCATTATTAAGACAAGCAGCACTGAGTATACTCTACCAATACATGGTGCACTTTGTGTCTCTCACTTGGCATTACTGTTCCTTGGTATTAAAAAAAAACCACATTCACTTTTTTTGCTTTTCACACGCTAAAGATTTAGATAAGTTGTCAGTGTTTTTGGCCACGTTGGCAAACGTGCTTAATTTCCCCAGGTTGGATTTCCCTTCTGTCAACATGGTTATGGTTTAAACATCATTACAGCAGCTCTGACAGGATTAGAAATGTGTGGGAGAAGAGAGGAAAGGAAGAGAGGAGAGAGGATAGAGAGAGAGAGAGAGAGAGAGAGAGAGAGAGAGAGAGAGAGAGAGAGAGAGAGAGAGAGAGAGAGAGAGAGATGACTCTTACTCCAGACGGTGAGGGTGATGTGCCTCTCAAAGTTTCCGTTGGGGAAGGTGGAGATGTGGCAGGTGTAGCTGCCCTTGTCCGACTCCTCCGTGTTCGGGATGAGAAGAGCCGAGTTCACCGTGGGACTCCCGCTCTCGAACCTCACCCGGCCGGAGTAACGCCCAAACTCTGATGTACCACATGAAAAGAGTTCAGATAAAGCAAAGGAACATGACAGTCATTCTTTAAACAAAGCTCAAACAGACTTTTTTTTTATAGATAGATAGATAGATAGATAGATAGATAGATAGATAGATAGATAGATAGATAGATAGATAGATAGATAGATAGATAGATAGATAGATAGATAGATAGATAGATAGATAGATAGATAGATAGATAGATAGATACATGTGGAAGATACACATTTCCCAAATAATAATAATAATAATAATAATAATAATATGGAAACAAAACATTCATAGGCAAAATAAACCAGTATTTTTTAAATGACCCCAAAACCCTCACTTAAAAACAAATAGTCCTATAATTGTGTACATAACCATTTCACCAGGAGACTATGCTCCAATTCAAACACTGAGTAAGTGCATTGAACAAATCAATGACTGGATGTGTCAGAACTTTCTCCAATTAAACATATAACGTATAACATATAACGTATAAAAGTTAGCGCTGAGCTTCAGTCTGCAATGTTCAAAACAACAGATAAAGCCAGAAATCTAGGTGTAGTCATGGACTCTGACCTGAGTTTCAACAGTCACATTAAAACAGTTACTAAATCAGCCTACTATCACCTAAAGAATATATCTAGGATTAAAAGACTAATGTCACAGCAGGATTTGGAAAATCTTGTCCATGCTTTTATCTTCAGTAGACTCGACTACTGTAATGGTGACTTCACAGGTCTCACTAAATATATTAGAAAGCTGCAGCTGATTCAGAACGCCGCTGCTCGAGTCCTCACTAACACTAAGAAAGTGGATCACATCACTCCAGTTCTGAAGTCTTTACACTGGCTTCCTGTGTGTCAAAGAATAGATTTCAAAATACTGCTGCTGGTTTATAAAGCTTTGAATGGTTTAGGCCAAAAATACATTTCTGATCTTCTGCTAAATTATGAACCATCCAGATCTCTCAGGTCTTCAGGGACTGGTCAGCTTTCTGTCCCCAGAGTCAGAACTAAACATGGTAAAGCAGCGTTCAGTTATTATGCTCCAAATATCTGGAACAAACTCCCAGAAACCTGCAGGTCCGCTGCAACTCTGACTACTTTTAAATCCAGGCTGAAGACTTTTCTTTTTGTCGCTGCTTTTAATTGAACTATTCATATTTCGGGACCCCCTTGAAAACGAGATGGTGCATCTCAAGGGGTTTATCCCAATAAATAAAATGTCTATATATATATCTCTTAAACTACACTGTAACTTTTTATTCATGTACTTTTTATTCATGTATTTTTCTTTTAATGTTTCTTTTATTATCTTTTCTTTTTAATGACTGTTTTTAAATGCCTTTGTCTGAATGTCTTTCATTTGTGTAAAGCACCTTGAATTGCCTTGTGTTGAAAGGTGCTATATAAATAAACTTGCCTGCCTTGCCTAGTATAATAATAATAATACATGTATATATATAGCACTTCAAGCAGTCTCATGGTATGCTCTCATTTCCAATCAGTGTTATACAGGTGTGCTGTATTTGTAAAATCATTCAAAGAGCCATGATTAATTAGGACAGACAGTTGAACTTAATTGTTATGAACTGGAATGAAATGTGGTTTTGACGGTTATCATTTATAATTGATTTCATGCCAAGCTCAGCCTCCTGAACACAGCGCCTGTCAACATCAATCATACTACTCAAATGAGACACCTGAAACGCGTCAATGTAACATAATAACATCACTATGTAACACTCGCGCTGCTATTGGCTAGTCCTCCATCACATTGTACGTGATAGGCTAAGGGGCGGGACATCTCTAAGCGGTTGAACAATCTCTAGTGACTGATCTATATTAGAAATTGGACAGTATGGGTAATCTTTATTGTATCTTCAAGAACCAAGGTTTGGAATTTGAGTTAATGTATGTTCTATATGGGATGCAAATGGAAATGATTGAAAAAATTAGCACAAATCTGGCATAATTCCTCTCTTCTCTTTTCTGAGATTAATGTATTTGTATGCAGGTTCCTTGTTGAAATAAATACATAATAATCAGTACATTTATTCGCTGCATCTCACCTGTGTGTCCGTCCACAAAGTGAGCAGTGATGATCTGATCCTTGCTGCCGTCTGGGAGGTCCTTGTACCATGTGACCTGCACCACCTTCTGCCCTCCCTCCACCTGGTAGTGGCAGGGCAGTCTGGTCTCACTCTCTGCAAAGGAGCGCAGCGAGGTTTCGGGCTGAGGGGGCTCCACGAAGTCTCCCTGCACACAGATCACTGAGGAGAGGGAGAGAGAGAGGATTTTATCATATTGAGATTGTAATAGGAACATGGAGAGTGCCAGGAAGGTCTTAAAGGTCACCTATTATGCAAAATCCACTTTTTCATATCTTCTACATCAACATGTGTCCCCTCTGTGTAAACATTCTCACTTTTTGTCCTCATACATTTATATGAAAACCTGTCTGAAAATGAGCTGATCAGATTTTGGCCACTTTATGATGTCATAACGATTTGTTGGCTTGTGTAACCATTAGCCAATCACCAACCAAGGTAACCCCCCCCCCCCCACCTGAATCTCCTCCTAGAGCACCATTGTGTTCTTTTTAACCAAATCTCTCTCAGAGGGGCGTGGGGAGGGGCTCCTTACTTTCATCTAAATTATCAGACAGAGAATCAGCACTTTGGAAACAGGGCTGAAACAGAGGGGATTATGGGATCCTGCAATGATCTGTTTGGTGTTTGGAGCCAAACACTTCAGAGACATGTTTTGTATATATCTGAGACCTATAATATATTGATGAAAAACAGTATACTAGGGGACCTTTAATGTGTCATAATGAGAAGATATGGAGCTGGGGAACATAGGACCCTGGGAATGTAGACTCACTTCCTGTACAACATTGATTGGAGCAAAACACTAGCACTAGCATATATCGTGTTTAAAACAACCATATTAGCATGACAACGTTTAGGGGTAAAACAATGAATGCTAACATTTGCTAATTGGCACTAAGCGCAAAGTCCTGATTAAGCTGCACAAAATGTCATGTTCATTTATTCAATTGTCGTCCTGATTTCACTACATGCCAAAAATGTCAATATCCGTTTGAGGACATTGAATATCTTTTTTCAAGGGGTTTCTCTCCAAAAGTTGTGAAGATAACTCAGTCACCATATTGGTGATTCTAATGCTCCCAAACATTTTCTTGTTAAATATATTTGGGTTTATTTTGTAAGTCAGATAAAACAAGCAATTTGACGGCATTCCCGTAGGCTCTGGGAGCTTGTGAAGAACATTTCCCAACGCTTTCTGAAACTTCATAGACTATAAATGATTCATTGATAATGCTATATTTAAAAATAATTGCTAGTTGAAGCTCTAATGTATTTCCACCTTAAGCAAGCACGATGTAGTTTCCTTCTAGACAACAATGCCACATGTGTACATCTTAAAACAACTAGACGTATTCATTTCCTATACAAAGCCCCTGACATTTTCCCATAATGCATTGGGCTGGAGTTGAAGTTGACCCCAGACAGGTTTGCATGTAGACAGGTAAACACATTCACACCTTATGGACGTCACCAGTTCACCCAATCTGCTCGTCTGATGGCACGCAGACAAAGAGCAACAAACTCCACAAAGAAGGTGGAGGATGAGTTTCCAGTTGTGAGGCGACGGAGCAAACAACAGGAACAATAGTGCTTTTATGAGTCTTTAAAAATAGAAATGTCGCTCTGTTTGTGAACAGACTCTCAAAAAACAATTATGTTACATGATGATTTAGTTGCTATTTTTCCACACTGACTGATTTTTTACTTAAAAATTCCTTGATATTGAATTATTTTGTCGTAATCTATGTTTTTTTATTTTCAAGATTATGATATTTTTTTTAGAATTAGATTTTGTCTGACTGGATCAGCATCCTCTTGATTAAAAACAATGTTCATCGATTGCCCTTCTAATATATTATAAGATATAAAATGTTCTATTTTAATGTGTATTCCATTGATCTTGACATTACATTACGATGTTTGCCTTATATTATTAATGGTTCTGTTTTTAATTACACTTTTATGTGGTTATTTCCCCAAGTATTGGATTCCTTTTTGATAGGTTGTTGCCGTGTGTGGCTTGAGTATAAGTAGTACAAGTAATTACAACATATATTTAGTACAAGTAAGTCAGGGTTCATACACTTTTTCACCAATGACTTCTCCATGACCTTTACCTAATTTTCCATGACCAAAACAATGACTCTTTCTCAGCGGTGCCACTGAAAATGGTTTATTTTAACATGGAACAGGAAAATAAGGTCTGCATCTGAAACATGTTGTGCCTATCTGAAACTAATCAAATAGGCTTACTAGCTCCTACACGCTAAAGCAACTCAAATCTCTCACCAGCAAAATACCTCGTCAGTTAAATGCCATTTTACGTTTCATTACTATACGACACAGTATTTATTATCATTATAGTATTACTATTTTGGCGATTAGATAAAATATAAATTATATTTAATGCAACTTTGGTTACATTTCCATGACTTTTCCAAAACTTTGGGAAAAATATAGTTTTCCAAAACTTTTCCAGAGCCTGGAATTAGCATTTTGAATTTCCATGACTTTTCCAGGTTTTTAATGACCGTAAGAACCCTGGTAAGTACAAAGACGTTGTTTAATAATGTGAATTTCATCCCAAAAATGTCCATGACACAAACGCTGTAACATAAATAAACAGTGTGCAAGAATTCGACTTATTATTTAGCATGAACAGGTGCAATGTTTTAAATGTTACTAGAGTTTTTGCATGAAAATCTACATTTTCTAAAGAAATTGGCAACGAGTATTCAATATTAACCGGACAAAGTGAGAGTTTTTAGAAGCTACAGCACTTCAGTGACTTTGTAGTCTCCTATCAGTGAGGCTATCAAAGCTGTCATCGGTGGGTGCGATTAATGACTTAGACTTTTATCACTAAAAGTCTAAGCGTGGGAGTGACACACAATCCAGAGTGAGCAGGGTGTGAGAGAGCCATGCTTCTACAACTCTAACAGGGAAACCCAAACATTTGCCCTTTGATTTCTCGGGGGAAACACTGCTTTCTGTGGTTACTCATTCATGAGCTCGAGTAATGATTACAATACAGTCGATATGGGACACGAACTCCCACAGATAAAATCCCACACAGTCGAGAACACCAACTGAGCGGTGGGTTTAAATTAGGACAACAAAGGACTACAGTGTGGGTGACCTAATTAGGGAGAGAAGGAGAGGAGAGTTGTAAAAGAGGAAGAGGAGAAGAACACTTTCCCATCAATAAAGGAGAAGAAAGAGAATCAGTATCCTTCACAAGAAGAATACACTATTTATCCTGGGCAGATATTAGGTTTCGTGCACCATTTTTAGAAAAACAACATATATTGCAACGGGGACATGGCGTCTTATCAGTGGTGGAAGAAGCACTTGTTTATTTAAGTAAAAAAAAGGAAAAGTAATGCATTCAGAATCTTCCTTACGTAAAATTGCAAAAATTATTGGGATCAAAATATACGTAAAGTGCCAAAAGTGAACGTTTTTGTAATGGCGCATTTCAGAATCATATACTGTATTATTATATTATTTATATATTGAGTTGTGAAGTTACTATGATTATTTATGTATTTTTATCACAGCTGGTAAATGAGGAGCTCATTTGAATAACGTTATACTGTTGCTGGGTATCTTAACCTATACATATATGTCATTGTTTATTTAATAATTGATTCCATTTTTGTATAAGCTAATAATCTAAATCTAAGTAACAAGTAACTAAGCGCTGTCAAGTAACGTAGTGGAGTAAAAGGTACAATATTGGCTTCTAAAATGTAATGTAGTAGAAGTAACTCTAAGTACAGTACTTGAGTAAAAGTACTTATTTCATCAACCACTGTGTCTTAGACAGTAAGATTGAAACTAAAAGGAGGCAAAGAGAAATTAAGACAGAGGTGAGAGTCAACAGCGATACAAAACAAAGTAAAATAAAGAGTTAAACACACACTGCACACACACACACACACACACACACTGCGCACACACACACTTTAGACAAACACTTCAGTCACAAGGCTGCTCTACAGGCTTTTCCTGTTCACTCTGCATCGCAGTAACTTTATCACACATGTTCTTGCAGAATTAAAGAAAAACAACGGTGTCAAATGTGCTTTAAAGCAGCAGGACAGCAGGGTTTAATCTCCACTGAAGAACGCAACGAAAAGCATCCGTGCATCAACAGTGATGAAGAGGAGGACGCAGGTTGGGCAATCAGTTTCATGTTTGAACTAAAAGTAAGAATGTGACGGAGCCACATTCTGTCATGCTGCCTCTTCCTCCACACCTGCAGGGACAAAAACATACAGGGACAAAAAAGAAGGTGGACATCCTGACATTACACCCATGAGCTATTGTTGAACACTTAGTTTAAAGAAAACGGGTGTTGATCTGCGGCTATGATGAGGTTCTGTGAAGACTGTCCACTGGCTGAAGGGATCAGCTGCCATTTAGCCACAGGAGCAATGGACAATACGTTCAGATTCAGAGGTTCCTAGGCTTTATTTTCATAAGCACGATAGATAAGGATTCGTTTTTTGGCAATAATTATATTAAGTGCGTCTGTCAATGCAACCATTAAGACATAAAGCAATACAAATGGGGCAAAAAGAAACAGAACCAGAAGAAGAATGATCCAAGCTTTTTGGATTGTGTTGGTGTTAGGGCTGAGTTTAGGCCAGTTGTTCCACACCAAACGGGGGAAAACATTAAAAACTTTCTGCACAGGAGTTAATATATGTCTTTGAAACAAGAAAACCCTTCCCCAAACCGTTGCACTAGGTTGTAAGCACACTACTGCCTAACACATATCATTACATGCTGTAGAATTGAGATTGACCTCCACTGGAACTACGTGGTCTAGACATGGTTATCATTTTGGCATTAAAAGACATCCTTAAAATCAATTTGATTAAGATTGAATTCTAGATTAGATTAGAAGAAAATGCATTGTGTCACAAAGATTAGAGATGTCCGAAAAGGCGTTTTGTGTCTTTAGAGACAACTATATTCAGTGTATAATATAAGCAAACAGATTTAGACAGTATGCGCAGACGTACTTATCAAAACATGTTATAATAAAAGGTTTGTTATGGATCTTTATGGGCCTACATTTCTGTATGGTGAAAGAAAAGAAAATATAGATATATATATATATATATATATAGATAGACACGTATAGATGTTTACTTTAAAGTAACTACATTTTACTGGCTCACTCAAGGTGTTTGTAGGAAGTAGAATGATGTTATTATAGCACACAAAATATATTATAAAAGTAACCATTAGGCACCATATGATTATTTTATCTTGTCATTCCTTCCCTTTCTTCTTATAGGAGACAGTATAGGAATATTATATGAACTGGAAAATACAATAAGGTTACTGTAAAGACTATATTTAGTTACAGGCATATTGCAACTGAATTTCAGGAATATTAAAGTCACTTTCTGTAACAGAGCAAGAAACTAAAACATGTATTCTTGACAATATGCACAGAAAAGTAATTTCTGGACCACATAAGCTTTAAAAACATCAACGACAGCAGGAGTCCCGAAATGACAGGGGGTTACATAAAACTGTGATATTGTCATGTGAATTGTAACGTAAAACTCACCAGAGAGTAACAGCAGCGCCAGGTACTTTAACCTTTGCCCGGTCAGACCCATCTCTGATCCAAAAATAAAAGCTCAGATTCCTTTCTCGGCTGTAAAACTGTTATAGAGACTTCATGATGATTTCTGCTTTAAATTCAGACGGGAAGCGTCAGTGATCGCAGCACCTTAAAGTCCTCAGCAGGTGTTTCCTCTTCAAATCACACACATGATGCTTGTAAATAAAAATCCAACACTTGTCCACTGGTGTAGTAATATGGATTAAGTGCAACTCGTAAAGTGCATTCACTTAATTACAAAGTATTCTGCCCAGAGGAACAACTCGGCAGATAAATAACAAAATTGTAAGCAGATAAACGGAGAAACTTCTAATTACATGTAAGCTAATACAGAAAGAAAAATAAGTCTATGAGTCTATTGACCCAACAGAGAGCTCTTCGTTTGTCACGCACACGCAGAAGCCCCTTCAACAGGTTTGAGCCTCTACCTGTCTGTGCCGACTCCGCCCACTTTTTTGATGTAGACGCGCCCACTTAATGCTGCGTTCATGTAAGATTGAGAAAGTTGGATTTGTCATTAATTGACATCCTGTTACCTGTTAATAAGTCACCTTTCAATATTTCTACAAAATGTAGTGGACACTATGTGCTTTCTTTGATACATCAAACTTCAGGCCTCAGCAGAATGGTTGTTTAGTTTAGGGTTAAAAGCCAGTGATTAATAGTAGGTTTTTATGACTTGCAGTTTGTTATGCATTGACCTCTTATAGTGCTTGAACATGACACACATCTACAATTCCCAGCCATATTATTAATATTATGGTTTGTTTTATATTTAATTGTGTAGTTATGAAGCTTTCATAAACCCATGCTTCCTGTAAATATCATAATAACAACATAAGAGCACAGAAATCCCTCAAAAGACTTCAGTACACATTTTTCAAAACGCGGAGTCTTCTATTATCTACTCCACAGCATTTTTATTGTCCTGTACTTTTAGCTATAATTCATTATTATTATTATTATTTGTTTCCCTATACTGTTAGCTTTTTTGTTAGCAAGCATCGTTATACATCTCAACACCTCTGTTAATGAGGATGAATCCTAATGGTCTTCTAAGGTTACATGAGCAAACACATACTACAGTATTTAAAGTTTAGAAATATAGACATTGATATTGTTTATTAAATGGTTAAATAAATAACACATCCAGAAAATGATGCGTGATAACACAAGTCTCATTTGTAGAAACTTTAATATCCCAGGAAAACTTGAATGCAGCATTATTTTGTGTGAAATTCCAAATGATCCAGTTTTTCCAAAACAACCTGACTAATCTGTGAGTGACGGGAAGATGATCCTCTCGTTTCAGATGACTTGAACTAATGATAACCTGCAGCTACAATGACAGAAAGCTTAATTCATACTGATGTAAACTACAGATACATGGTAAATGGTAATTGGACTGCATTTATTAGGCACTTTATCCAGTCTAAATTACTCTATTAAGTGCTATACAAGTCAACATTCACCCATTCATACAGAAGCAGGGGCTGCCGTAATGTGACCATGCTCAACAAAGCTCACGTTTACACATCCTTGCAAGGGATTGAGTATCTTGCCAAAGGATACATCGACAGGTGTATCAAACCCACAACCTTCCGATTGAAAGCAGTGGCGTTTTCTCCTGGAGGCCAAGGGAAGCCAGGCTTCCCCTGTTTTTTCGGATTGTAGTTATCATTTTAATAAATAAATAAAAAAACTTCGTCTAGTTTCGGAAATTCTTTGTTTTGTGTTGCTGCCGGCCCGTCTCTCCCCTTTGGTCTCTCCCCCATTCTCATTGAGTATTTTACAAAGAGTGAAACAGCGCCCCTCTAGATGTTATGGTGAAACAGTAGATTGCACTCTCTGCTGCGAGAGGAGGCCAGCCGAAATTGGCTTCCCTTCGTGAAAAAAAATGGAGGGATTGACCAATCAGACAAGGCTCACGTGATGCCCCTGCCAGTCTGTGATTAGTCAGGGCCATGCCAAGGGAAGCCAGAGGCGGCTGGCTTCCCTTGCCTCACAATCCAATCAAATCGCATCAATTTAGTGTTGCAGTGACGCGTCGTAAAACCCGGAAGTAAGCTGCGCTCGGTTTCCCTCAGGTTTCCCTCGACAAAAAAGCAATGGGATTTCTCCATAGGATTTTGAAAAATAGCTCGAAATAAGGTCAGTGGAAAACGAACCTGTTTGATAAATGTACGTTTTGTTCAGCCGGATAATATCCACATGTCTACCCTACTTTTATAATTTTCGAATCATAAATCTAATCGATAGAAGATAGATAGCGTCACTGCACCACTCTCACCGCCGTTAGAAAGTAGCAAGCAACTGAAGCAAGTGCAATTATGGAGGGTGGAGATTTGGAGTATTTAATCAAACATAATTGTACTAAACTTCCGCTACAGCAGCAACTAAAAATCTGATGACAGGCCAATGCCCAAACTGGAGCTGTGTACAGCGAGGAACAAAGGAGCGAATCGGACGTAAAACGTTAAAGGTCTCCTGATTTAGTTTGTGAATGAATGCTTATTAGAGTTTGGGCTGGAGAGTGCGTGCGGACCTGTCGGTTAGATAACAGGCGTGTGTAAGTCCTGCATCTGATACAAATGTGTGTAAAATGATACCGGGTGCTGTAATCACTGATCTGGTTACGTTATGATATTGACCACCACACCCCCGACCCAAAAGAAAGGACGTATTATTGGCTTCCCCTAATTTTTTTCCCACGCCACGCTACTGATTGAAAGACACCTCACAGCCACAGAAGTTCATTTCATCACATACTCTGCCCCCAAAAAACAATATGTATATCATGTTGAAGTGTCATCCACTTACTCATCCTTATTCATCATCAGTCTAATATTCAAAAAGGATAATGCATTGAATTCTGAAAAGTATAAATCTGATTGAACAGCAGCAGTAAAAACGCAGACACACACACACACACACACACACACACACACACACACACACACACACACACACACACACACACACACACACAGAGAAGGCATAAAGGGTCATTTATTGTGTTGTTACAGAAAGAAAACACTTGTCTCATTGCAACATGTTTACTTGGAATCAACAAAAGTGAGATTAGCCAATTAAACATGATTTTATAGGCTAATTTCACCATCATTGAAATGCAGCTGTGACCCCAGCTCTGGGTGTATTTTGTTTCACACGTTCAGTGTGTTATGTTGTTGTGAAGAGCCTGAGGGAAAACAGTGCTCACAGCCGCAGAGCGAACTGTCATCAATCTGTTTTCAAAACCTTTCCAGTTTTGTTGTAAATACGTGGGAGAATGTCACTCAGGCACATGGATACAGGCTTTCAGTGAACGTGTGTGATGGCCATCTTCTGTTGTACATTTTAAGAAATGTAAATGTTAGACTTACTTTCTGGATTCTCCGGTAATTGTGGTTCATTTCTAGATTATGTTCAAAAAGTTGATCTTGTTTTTGTTCAAAAATGTTTATTAACTTAAAAGTACATCATAAATGGCGATACTGTATGTAATTATGGTCATGCCAATAAAGCTATTTGAATTGAATTGAAGATTAAACTAATTTTAAGTGTTTTTAATTTCACCCAAATCTAGTTGATTTGACAAGGATTTGCAAAACTGACATGTAAGGATACAGTGTTATTGTTTTTGAGTATAGACATAAAGCGGATCACATGAATCTATTACATAAGACAAAACATTTTGAGATTTGTTTGTATTTAAAAGTCAGAAGACAAAATTGGAATTGAAATTAAAACTTGTTAAAACATGAAAGTTGTGTTTCAAATACGGGGATTTGATTAAAAGCTTCAAAAACGCATGCAAAGTTAAATCAGATAAATGAAATGAATGAGTATTTTTCCAAGTCCAAGTTAAATCCTATTAAACCAATTCATGATTTGGACTTTCTAGCTTATTATTAGAGTTAAGTCGATTAATCAATTAGATGATTGATAGAAAATGTAACAAAAAAAACAAGCACCTTCATAGTTTTAAGAATCTGCTGGTTTTACACATCGTATATCTGAATATCCTTTGGACCTTTGGACTGTTGTTCAGACAAAGACAGACATTTGAAATCTTCACTTTGGGCTTTTTAGAAATATGAATTTGATAAACCAAAGACAAATGTTCCACTGAGAATCTAATCTAACATGTATCACAGAATAATAAACAGATTATGTGTTAATGATTGCGTTATAGAACAAGTTTCACTCCTTTTTCTGAGTTAAAATACGTTGTGGGTTTTACAAGTTCTCCGTCATTCCTTGAAAAAAAGGGAAGATGATTAGAAATAACCTTAACTTCTGTTTTCTGAGTAACTCGGGTGACACAGCTGTGAAACGCAGTGAAAACACATAAAGCCTTTATTAGTGCATTGTTAAATTAAGTTAGTTTTACCATTACACACAGGCGCAGCTTGGAAATAAGAGTAGTATTTTTTACAAAAAGAAAAGGCAGGAGAATATACAGTTTAAAGCTTCAAGAGAGTCCCGTCAGACCATCGGCTTCTTATCCATTCTGATGGTCTCGTAGGTGTCGGTGCTCTGAGAGGTCAAACCCTGCAGGACACACACGGAAATAGTTAAAAGGTACCTTGTGTTATAAGTAACATGTCTACAAAACAAGGATGTGAGCATTTCCTGCACAAAGTGAGATTGTTCTTTTCTGACAGCAAGGTATGGTGAATAAAAATAGGTTTTCTTTACCATGCACTTGTGCCTTAAGCGTTCACGTTTCCATCATGTGCAGTTTTTAATGTCTTTTTAAGCATTAGAATTAGAGGTCTCACCTCATAAATGCCTCCCTCCACGGGCTTCTTCTTCTGTGGGATGAAAACAGTTCAAAGGAGTTATCAAATGTGCTTCAGCGACACTCGTTTCTTAATGAACACATACATACTCCTTTTAGACATGTTGGGGAATATTGCTTAATGATTTTAAGCCTCGAGGGTCAAGATCTTCATGTGTTTTTGCATGCCAATTAACAGGAAGTAGGATGTGACACATGTGTTTTTGTGCGAAGAAACGCTGCTGGGAACTGTGAGTGTGTATAAATCATGTAGGTTGGTGGTCAGCTCGAGCTAACAGGAAATGGTAGTCTAATGTTCGCTTTAAAGCAGAACTTCAGCTTTTGAGGGTTGAATACCAAGGCATTTAAAAAACAAACGTTTTGTTTAGTTCAAAATAAAAAATATACAACACTTACCGCAGGGGGATCAGCAGGAGTCCACTGTGAAAAAGTACATCAGAAAACACAGGATTTAGTGATTCATATAATAGTTTAAAACTCTTTAGACTCTGTGTTTGAGATTTAATTCATGAAAGTGATTTGAGTGAGTTATGTAAAAGCTGATAGAGATATTTTATAGAGATACAAAATGAGATCAAATAAATACAATGAAGGTAACAAAAATAATACATACTAATTAATAATAATAGTAAATAGTAATTTATTTTAAATAGGGCTTTTGAGGTTATTAAAATTCACTTTAAAAACACAATTTCACACAACAAATATGCAATGAAGTAGATCAAATACATACAAACGTATAAAACAGAGAGCATAATGAACCGGCGGTGTAATTACGGAAGTTAGTTTCATTAAAGACAGAATCATCGATACCTTTATAAGTTTGTAGACCATTTTCATGACTTTTTCTACGATCAAAACTCTTAAAATATTGTTAATAATCGTACTTTTTATAAGAGTTCAGGAGAACGTCTAGACAAAAATAAGGAACATACAGCACTTTCATCATGCTGGTGTGTGTGTGTGTGTGTGTGTGTGTGTGTGTGTGTGTGTGTGTGTGTGTGTGTGTGTGTGTGTGTGTGTGTGTGTGTGTGTGTGTGTGTGTGTGTGTTGTTCCTGTTTGTCTTACCCTCATTCTGCAGTACAGGACGGTGAGGATGATGCCATAAAGGATGAGAATCCCGTCCAGAATGTAACACACGTTCATGTCTCCGAGAGCCACTGCACAGAAAACACACCGTCTACATCAAACACAATCATCTCCTCCATCATGCTGTGTCATAAACTCACTGTTTAACTAAGACGTTTTAAAGCTAACGGTATATTTAAAATCTCTCCATGGTGTTTACTCATCCTCACAAGTCCAGGTAGGGTTGATCAACAAAGAGACAGCGATGGATAGCACTTACGGTTTCAGATAAAAAGAGAGATCTGTTTTCTTGTTTTCTTGTCGGCTGTCAGTGAGATCTCTTCACAAACTTGTCTGAAGTGAGCTCTGTGAGCAGCAGCCAGCAGGAAGTCCGGGGATAGCTGTCCGTTTTTTCTTTTTAAAGCTGTGAAACCACACGCCTACCACACTGCAATCCTCTCATCACGAAGTTCCTCTAAAACTCCTGTGAACACGCTGCTTATATCTACAGTTTAATATGGCTCAATGCAGTAACATAGTGCTTTCAATACGATCAGAGAATAGATATAAGATTAAAAGATATGAGACACATTCGAACAGATGCAACTGGTTGCATCTGTTCGAATGTGTCTCATATCTTTTAATCTTATATCTATTCTCTGTGAAGTATTCTATTCTAAGTGAAGGTCATTTAGTTGCAAGATGGCCGTGCCTATGTTGGCTTAGTGGAGTTAGTAGCTGTCTTTTATTGGTGTTTTATCGTATGGTTTATCCTATGTATTACCTGCTGTTGTTTTATGCCTTTCATTCTACATTTTATAGTTGTACTGTGAATTGTGTACTGTACTGTAAAGCACTTTGTACATCCGTGTTGAGAAGGGTGCTATATAAATAAAGTTTGACTTACTTAAATCTTCTATAAAGTATTTTGTAAAAGAGAACTTCTCTAACCTCCTACGCTTCAAAATAAGTGACAAGACATAAGGAATAAAATGGTTTAATAGTGGAAAAAGGCCTATGACACTATACAAGCTACAGTTACCAAAAGAGAAAGAAAATACAAGACAAAATCTACAAAATTTGTACAAGCCACTTGTTTTTCAAAAGTAAAAACATCGGGGAAATTGCATCGTCATAACTTAGGCACCATCAAAATGATAGAAAAGTATTACAAAAAAGTATTGGGAGCCTGAAACAACTCAAGCATGCAGGGTTGTTTTATAGAATGTGATCACTCGGGTGAAATGTCAGCGGTGTGTTTGCTGTTAGGAATTTAAAGGGCTTTTTAAACCACATTTCTCTTGAAAACAAACCGTCGGTCATGTTTTGTCTCAACAAACTTTAGGTAGGTGCCACGGATCGCCCCACGTCTCAGCATCAGGAGTGTTTTGGTGTTACAGAGTGTTTTAGGTCCTAGAGGAGGAAGAGTAAGGCCGTGGGATGCAGCTGTGTGTGTGTGTGTGTGTGTGTGTGTGTGTGTGTGTGTGTGTGTGTGTGTGTGTGTGTGTGTGTGTGTGTGTGTGCAGGGGCACCGCCAGGGATTTTGGGCCCTATGAAAAAATATCATAATTGGTTACTTAACATTTTTTTCTTAATGTTCTAAAATTGTTTGGGCCCCTGTCAGTCACGGGCCCTTAGAATCGTCCTAACTTTTCACCCCCGTACAGCGCCCCTGTGTGTGTGTGTGTGTGTGTGTGTGTGTGTGTGTGTGTGTGTGTGTGTGTGTGTGTGTGTGTGTGTGAGCAGAGGAGCTGCACAGAAGAGTTACAATCACACGTCTGATTTGGGATTTTTGTGAAAATGCATGATAAAAAAAACAGCTGAGGAAGCAGCTGAGTTGAACTACAGCTGTGTGCTCAAGAATGAGTTCACACGTGTGGATTGTGACAAAGACTGGAATAAACCTAGACCTCATTTAAACCTGTTGACACGTCACCTGAATCTGCAGAAAGACAGACTCACAAGCCTTTGCATTTACGTATACTTATCATTAGTTTTAGCTCTCGTCGTCTCAATGTTGCGTTGTGATTGGATATAAATATTTAATTGGACAGGCAGAGCTCAGGGACTTATGACAAACATTGTGTTTTCGAAAGTCAAAAGGATAAATGAGTTTTGAAAGCTTTTAAAAACTGCTCATGACTTAAAGACGGCGGCCAGATGTATTTGATCAAGTCACAATCTTTAGAGAAACCCTTCTATTAAATAGACTCAATGTTTTCTGTTATGATTTGGTTTTCTGGTGACTTTCCAAATGTCTCTGACAAGCTGTTCAGTTTCTAAGTCTTTCAGCAGGTTTACTGAAAAACTTAAGGCCCCATTTTTATGAAACGTGTTGGAAAGGTCAATCATGGGCCTAGGAAGAACACGGTAAAGTTTAGATTGGATCTGAATTACTTGGCTAGTAAATGACTCCTCTGAGAAAATGTTATCTGTTCACGACAACCATACAAAGTCAGTCACGGACATGGGCACTGAAAGTTAACATACAATTCCTTATGCTGTAAATACGCATGAGGACATGTTAGTCAGCGACTTGAAATAGTACCTGGGAAATGCTTAATTTTCTCCTTATTTAGTCATGCTTGTTCCCTGTTCTTTAAGGCAAGGAATTAGCCTTTTATGTTGAAGTATAGGGTTTTTAAAATGAGGAACTTGTTACTTCCAGACAGGGTAGGAAAGACTGAAAGTGTTGAAACACACTCTTGGTTTTCTGGTCTTTTTGACATTAAGGAAAACTCTGAATAACACCAGGTTTTAATATCCTCACGAAGATATACATACAAAGACTGCTTGTTAATAACAGGCGTGAATGGGGTCTTGGTTTAGTCTTCTGTGTAAAAGGGAAGTTGGATTGCCAGTGTAGTGTTTTAAAGAGAACCTGCATATTAAGACAGTCATGTAAATACAGTTTGGAGTAGCTGAGGAATGTACTTCCATTTTTCACATAAAAAAGAAGACATGTTGGCCTTCAGGCCGCGGAAAAGCCACGTGTTAATTCAAAGCACATAATGCTACATTCTGTGAGTAAAGAAAAAAGAAGTCACACCCTTTAATATAAAAACTGTCCTTGTATTCTTGAAACAATACATGGAGAGGGAACCAGAAGGCAGAGGTACACCAGCATTCAGAGCGCTCTGTTTTTGAGAAAGAGGAAGTGACAAATGTGATGTAATCCCCCTCGTCTGGTGTTGAGTCAGCACAGTGAAGTCGTAGTCCAGTGGTTACAGCAACAGCAGAAGCCAAGAGAGGAGAAAAACCCCCTGTATACAAAAAGTCTCTTACAGAAGGCATTCGTTTTATTCCAGGTTTGAACAATCATTGAGCAGTTTCATATCGGGAGGAGTGGTTCACTCTCTCCTTCAAGGGTTTCTGTGTCACAGACAGGAAGTGATTGGATGTGAGTGGACCCCATGTCCCGTCCCGTGGGAAAAAATAAGCATCCATCACACCGAGGTTTCCGACTGAAGCCTCATCACGAACTTGTGGCTCTTCGGGTCGATGAATTCCTCCCCGAGCCGCAGGAAGGGGAGCGGCATCACCGTGACAACCAGGGAGAAGTCGAGGCGCCGCAGGGAGAAGATGAGACCCTGCCGAAGGGCCGAGGTCACCGGCTCCTCGCTCACCAGGGTCCACTGGCGCCCCCTGCCGTTCTGCTGCTGGTACTGCACCGTGGGGCCGGGGCTCAGGTACCGCTCCAGGAAGGCCTGGAGTAAAAAGGGAGGAAGAGGGGGTGTAAATATCATGGAAACAAGGGAGATAGTGTTTTAATGGGAAATATATTAAGTTAAGTAACTTATAGTAATGATTGTCAAATATTTCCTGGATCCTCTATTATATATTTTGTATTTAACACATTCATTTTTCACATTAACATGTGGTAATTCAGATTGTCTATGTTGTAATTGTATAAGGTTTGTTGATCTGTATAAACTGTAAAGCCCCCTGAGATAAATTGTGTCATATATAAATATGGAACTAAAACATAAAATAAGATAGGAAAAATATTTATATACATTAATTTAAAAAATACCGAAATAATATTGCCTGGATAATAAAAAAAAGGACCTAAATTCATTTAAGTAAATAAATACTGGACTAAAGGAGACAGCTTACCAAAATATGTAGAAATATTCGTAAAACATGTTATAGATTTTTTCAATAATTTAACTGGGATAGTTGTTTTAAACCCTTTTAACACTAGAACCGCCAACGGGTCAATTGTACCCGCAGCTGTTTTTTGATTGTATGTCATTTCTTTCAATGAAATATTCAAGTCAGTATGAAGTCAGATTGAAAAATCGCCCAACATTTTTTAATTGATCCTACAGCGGGTAATATTTACCTCATAGAAAATGCAGCGTAAACATGACGTGTTTCTATAGTAACGCCTTTTTTCTAGTGCGGTTCCTTATAGATAGAGAGATATAGTTAGAGAGAGAGAGAGAGATATATATAGTTAGAGAGAGAGAGAGAGAGAGAGAGATATAGTTAGAGAGAGAGAGAGAGATAGAGAGAGAGAGAGAGAGAGAGAGAGAGAGAGAGAGAGATAGTTAGAGAGAGAGAGAGAGAGAGAGAGAGAGAGAGAGAGAGAGAGAGAGAGAGAGAGAGAGATTTGTACCTAAACAAAACACAAGTCTAACACCAAGCGTTTAAATCAGCACTGGTAGCGATATTCTATACTTCATGCTATCTGCACAAACTATATCATATGAAAAGCTGAGAGTCCACAGATAAGTTTCATCCCTGTGCGATCAAAACTCACTGTTCTGTTTGATAGATACAAGAACATTGTACCTTGAAAATCAATAGCGGGTAAATTTGACCCGTTGGCGGTTTTGGGTATACAGCGACCTCTGGCGGTTCTAGTGTTAATAAAGTTTCTGTTGTCCAAAAAACTGAATTTATAATACTCCCAATTACAGATGTTGAATCAGAAGGAATATCACAATAAGACTTAAACCTGGAATTTATCTGTATCACAAAACATGTGAAACTGCAGAATGTTAATGTTAGAGGAGGTAAGTTGAGTTTTTTCCACCACAGTGAGCCGGTGTGTACCTTGGGCGTCATGTTGTGTGTGATGCAGAACTGCAGGTGTGTGAGGATGCTCTCCATGCTGTGGAAGGCCTGCTGCCTCGTGGTCCTCAGGTACTTCTGCATCGCCCGGGCCATCGGGGCGAAGATGGCCTGCGCCGCCTCCCGAGGGTCCATCACCTCTCGGGGGTGTTTGGGGGACGAGGCCACTTCGTCTTCATGGAGACGCTTGATGTGTGTGAAGGCCTCTTCCACCGCCACCACCAACCTAGAGGGTGGAGAAAGGGGCACAAATATGAACTCTTTAAAGTTCCCCTATTATACTGTTTTTACTGGGTTACCTTGGTTACTGATTGGCTAATGGTTACACAAGCCAACAAATCGTTATGACATCATAAAGTGGCCAAAATCTGATCAGCTCATTTT